AGCTCTTTATGGACTTAAGCAAGCCCCTCGTGCTTGGTATGATCGGTTGACATCTTTTCTTCACGATCAGAATTTTGTTCAGGGCTCAGTTGATAAGACTTTGTTTATTAAACATGAATCTAGTGACCTTCTTCTTGTTCAAATCTATGTCGATGACATAGTGTTTGGGTCAACCAATACTCAGATGTGCTCTTCTTTTTGTGAATCTATGAAAAGTGTCTTCGAAATGAGTCTCATGGGTGAATTGAAGTATTTTCTAGGTTTACAAATTAAACAAACAGCCCATGGTACTTTCATTAGTCAATCAAAGTATGTGTCTACCATGCTTCAAAAGTTTGACATGACTACATTGAATACTTGTCCAACACCTATGGCAACTAATGTCAAGCTTGATTTAGATGAAACTGGTGAGTCAGTTGATGAGTCTAAATATCGAGGTATGATAGGTTCTTTACTCTATTTAACTGCAAGTAGACCAGACATTCAATATGCTGTGTGTCTGTGTGCTCGTTTTCAATCACAACCTAAACAAAGTCACCTTACAGCAGTGAAGCGTATTTTTCGATACTTAAAAGGCACAAGTGATGTCGGCATCTGGTATGCCAAGCAAGATCAGTTCGATCTTCTTGGATATACTGACTCTGACTTTGCTGGGAGTCTTACTGATCGAAAGAGTACATCAGGTTGTTGTCAGTTTGTTGGTACTTCATTGGTGTCCTGGTTTTGTAAAAAGCAAGGAGCTGTGGCTTTGTCCACGGCCGAGGCAGAGTATATTGCTGCCGGTAGCTCATGTGCTCAGCTCCTTTGGCTGAAAAGTCAGTTAAATGATTATGGATTGAAAGTTTCTTCTGTTCCTCTTTACTGTGATAACACTAGTGCGATCTGCATGACAAAAAATCCGGTTCAGCATTCACGAACCAAGCACATTGACATTAAATATCATTTTATTCGAGAGCTTGTTAAGGATGGTCATATCTCTTTGCATCATATTCCTACAGAATTCCAGCTGGCTGATTTATTCACAAATCCTCTAGCAGCTGATCGCTTTACCTTTTTATGCTTTGAAATCGGCCTTCGTTCTCTATCATCTCTCTCAGAGCTGATAGGGGATACAGGATCCTGAGGTGATTCCTTAGGATACTGTCCTGTTGTATCTTTTGGTTATTCCTGTTTATTTCCTTATCTTAGTTTGTTTACCTTGTTTCCTGTATTGTTTTTTCCTTTTGAGTGTGCTGTTTACCTTTATTGTGGTTGCTTTATTTTTTGGATTTCATTGATCTTTCTTCCCTTTTTGTTTGCTCTCCGTGTTTGGTAAGTTGTGTACTTTCTTTTCCTTGCTTGTTCTCTTTTAGTATTTATAGAGGCATTCGTCGTGACTGCCTTCTCATCATCCTTTGTTTCGTTTCCTTGTTTTAGCTTGAGCCATGGCCCTTCCCTTCCTTCGCACTTTCACTGGTACTATGCTTTTGGATCCTATTCCAGCCAATGCTCATCGACACTCTCTGTTTTTTGAAAACCTTCAAATTCTGCCTACGTATCATGTTCAGCTTGATGAACTGACTGAGGTAGGACTTGATGTGCGTCCTTTTATCCAAAATCTAGGCTGGAATTTTCTTTTGCACCATCCCTTTTCCACTGTGGTGTGCCCTAATGCTGTTCGATTCTTTTACTCAAACCTTCGGTTTACTGATGTGCACTCTCGGTTTTTCACCACCCTGGTCTTTGGTAATCTCCTCACAATTCCTGTTGCTGAGATCGAACGTGTTCTTCACATCCCTGTCATAGGAGAGAATCTTGCAAATGAGTCAGAGCTAGGTCTGTTCAATTTTGATCTCTCAGAAGAGTTTCATCAGCTTACTGGTCAGTATCCTGGTCCTAATCTTTCTATGCCCGTCACTGCCCTGTTGCCCTCCCTCCGAGCCCTCCATTTTTTCATCTCTCGTGTGTTTTTACCTCGCTCTGGCAATCTGATGCTGATAACCCCTGTTGAACTTTGGGTCTTGGCTCATGCTGCTCATGGTATTCCCCTAAACTTTGCCCCGCTGTTCTTTGGGTCTATCATCTCTTTCTGTGATGTGGGTATCACTTCCCCGCTTCCTTTTGGTTCTCTTATCACCACCCTCCTACTCCGTTTTCATGTCAAACTTCATCCGTTCATGACCATCACCCCTTCCATCTTTCTCTCGGCCGACGAGGTCATGGACCTATTGGAAATAGCAGTTGAGGGGGAGAATGGTGACAATGATATACTAGTCATCAGCAGTGATAGCAGCGACTCTGATTCTCCTAGCGACTCTGACGATGCACCAGAACTGGAACCTTTTGCTGCCGCTCTTCAAGCCCTTTACGGATCTGATTCTGATAATGAAGCTGCATAGTGGAGGAAGTTTGTTCAAACCAGTCTGTGGTCTCTTTGTGTTAGCTAGGTTTTAGGGGGAGGATTTCTTTTCGATGATTATCTAACTTGACAGTATTTTGGTGGTTTGCCTGACCTGGCTGTGGTCTTTGATGATTTTCCTTTGAATGCTGGTTGATTGGTTTGTTCTAGTTAAAGACTTTTTGGTGATATTTTGTTGTGGAGACAGCTTGTTTATCCTTGCAGGATCATCAGGCTACTCAGACCTTTTATGTCTTGACAAGTTTCTGTTATGCGTGGAGATGGTTTGTTCGTTTTTGCAGGGTCACTGGACAACTTGCTATTTCCAACTTAGGGGGAGATTGTTGGAGTATGGAAAGTCGGAAATAAATCAAAGGAAATCATGCCAGCAGCAAAGCTTCCATATCTGCAAGAGTTACCATTCCTGGAGGAATTTCGAATACAACGGTCGACCTGCAAAAACAGTATAAATACTCCAGAAGTGCCTCAATGTTCATTATCTCTTGTAAACGTGGTATAGGGCTGTTTAAAGAGTGGGTTAATCAGTGCAGAGGAATAGGTCTGACTGATTAACGGTGTAACGGGTCTGGGTTTGGGATCCGGGTTGTTTGCTCTTCTTGCTTATGTTCTTGAGTCTTTTGTTTCAATTTGCTTGATAGGATAAAATCAATAAAAAAAAGAGTCTCCTAGGTCTCAGTGAAGTACTGAGTCTAGGACGAGGACTGACCAGTAGATTGGGAACCTCGTTAAAAATCGCCTGTGTTCATTTCTCTGGCTGTGTTCCTCTGTTTTGCTCGTCCTCTGTTTTGGTCCCTGCAGCAACTTGAAGTTCTCTTCTCTCTAAGGAAGAAGACGAGCTCGTGTTTTGTTCAAGTTGCGGGCCAAAATTAAGCAGGCCCTCTTTCCATTTCTTTCACTTCCTTTTGTCTGCTTGTGGGCCGGAGAATAGTTTGGGCCCAAATTGAAAAATAAAAGAACAGAGACACCACGAGAATCCCCTTCTCCTTCGTGCTCTCTGAAACTTCTCCATTTCCTTTTTCCCCAAATTCTCCTGAACCCTAATTCAATTTTGATCTTTTTCTCTGATCACAAATCCACCGACGGTACGTGTATGGCCGTGCAAAGTTCAGTCGGTGTATCTGCATCGTTGCTCGCGGCCAAGAGATTGCGGCAAACTAAGGATGCTAATTTGAACCCGCTTTCTTGGGTATTACCCAACTTGATCTGTAATAAGACGGGTATTACCCAATTCGTAGTGGTGCGGGACTTAGTATGAGTATCTATTTTCGATCTATCGTGTCTCATTCCCGCACAGATATTACCCACCTTGATTCATACTTGATGTGGGACGAGTATCAGGGGTGGAAATCGGTACGGTATTGGTATCCCAATACCAAATACCGAAATCCCGAATACCGAATTACACCCTAAAGTCAATCCCAATCCCTAAATAATTTCGGTATCCCAATCCCAATCGCTAAATATACCGGTATCCCAATCGGTACTTCGGTATCCCAATCGGTATTATCGAATACGAAATTAAGTACCTTTACAATTAATAATTAAATATATAAATGAGATTTTATTGTTTAATTTAGTGAAAAAAGACTAAGCAAAGAGTTTTGAATTAGGATATTATTAAGGAGAATGGAGGAGAGGATACATCTCGAGTTCTTGTCATTGGTAATTTTTAATTTGACGAATTGGAGGTTGACAGACAACTATTAATAGTGATGGAATGATCTATGTATAATTAAATGACACTTTTGGTGGTTGAGGGTCGTGTAGTAATGAATGAGAGAGTCTAGTTGAGAGGATAAAATACACACTAGCTTATATTTCGGTAGTGATCGGTATTTTGGTATATATCGATCTCAATCCCATAATCCATAATACCGAATAACAAATGAAATTCAATCTCAATCCCAATCCCAAAATTTAATTCGTGTATTCGATAATACCAAATTAGACAAATTCAGTACGGTATTCAGTATACCCCGATATCGGTAACAAACTTCCAACCCTAATATGAATATTGGGGACCCGTACGGCCTATTGCCATCGCTACTAGAGCTGTCCATTTGGTTTTGGTTATTTGGTTTTAACCGAAACCAAACCAATTGGAAAGCTAATGGTTTTGGTTTTTTGGTTTTAAACCAATAAGCAACTTAATGGTTTTGGTTTGGTTAAAACCGAAAAACCAATAGAAACCATTAAGAAACCAATAAGAATAAAATTATTTATCAACAATTTTTTTTTTCTTTTGACACACATGCCAACCAATAATTTGTAAAGGTCATTTACCATTATTATGACGTTTATTCAATAAAAAGGAGGGAAATATGAATAAATATGAGTGTATGAGTACATATTGGTTTTTTGGTTATCCAAACCAAAACCAAAACCATTAGGGCCCTTATTGGTTTTTGACAACCAAAAACCAATAAGGGCCTTAATGGTTTTGGTTTTGGTTTTTGGGATTTGGTTTTTGGTTTTTGGTTTTTCATACTTAATGGTTTGGTTAACCAAACCAAACCAAATTGACAGCCCTAATCGCTACGACAAACTGTACGTATGCATGATGGAATGGCTCAAGTGTGGTTATTAAGGTGGGCTTGGAGTTTGGAGTTAAGACTGGGCCTTACGGTGACTTTGTCTTTTGAAGAGAGGAGTCTAATATCGGGCCGAAGGCCCAAGATGCAACTGGCCCGGTAGTTAACTAATTAGTTATACATTTCTTCACTAGGGGACAGTGGTTGGTGATGTGGCTGCTGAGCTGGAGGGATTTACAAATGATCTAACCAAAAAAAAAAAAACTCGGAACAAAAGGAAAATAATCTAAGGGAAGGCAAGGCACCTCAGTATCTTACCACCCACGCAACCATCCCCATCCTGGACTTAATAACATGGAAGTCACTTCATGGCTTTAAAGCGCCTACGATGCTCCGAGCCCCCGACCTAGCACTTGTTTTAATCGTCGTCTTCATCTTCGAGATCGATTATCATCCTCGATTTCCTCCTGGAGACTGCACTTCCAATCTGTGGACTAGGAATAGAAATGTCCACGCCATCATCCTCCAATCCATCTGCCACCATCTGTCCATCATGATCATCATCCTCGTCAACCGGAGAAACATCCACGTCATCGTCCTCCAGTTCATCCACCATGAGTTCATTATCCTCGTCCTCGTCATCATCAGCTGGAGAAACATCCACGTCATTGTCCTCTGGTTCATCGACCATTGGCTCTCTGTCTTCGTCATCACCAACAGCAGCAGGAGAAATGCCAGATGGGCTGCCACCACCAGAAGTATCATCTTCACCAATTCCTTCAGAATCGTCCATGGCACCGCCAGGAACCTCAATTCTGCTGGCTGATGCTTCTGGAGCAAGTTTCCTACTTTTCTTTCGGTCTTGGACCTCCTTGGCTCTCCTGTGATCCCGAAATATGAAAGGTGTACAGTCATGTAAACAAACACACAGAGACGTCAGAAGGCAAACAAACCAAGTTGGGAAATACCTCTTCTTGAAGGACAGCAATGTTTCCTCTTCAGATTCGTGTCCATCGTTGGATTCCTCGTCTCTCATGCTGGCTTCTGTCTGGGACCTCTTCCTCTGGGGAACATGAAGTCCAAGTTGCTTGAGTTTGCGGGTAACCTGTGCAGCTGTGAAACTACCTTCTGGTGCCAGAGCATCTGCGATCATGTGGCTGCACCTTTTCTCTGCTTTGAACCTTCAGAAATGTTCATCAATTGGTTTAGATTGATATGATAGAGGTGGAAAGTGATTTGATATGTAAGTTGCAGACATTACAAGTTATGCAGAACTTACTGCTCGTATAAAGCTCTGATTTTTTCTTCCTGATCCTTGCCAATGGCTGGCGCTCTTTTCCTAGCGCCCCTGTGGAGGAGGGAGAGTGTTGAAAGAATGAAGATAAGAACAAGCTCTCTTTGTTCAACCTTCATACTGGAACTTCTTGCACCAGCCTGGAAAGCAAGGTTTGATTTACTTACGTGGATTTCTTGAGCAAGGTTTCTTCCTCTTCAATTTGAGAGAGCTGAGCAGGATCAGTAGAATCTGTTCCCCTGGCTTTTCTTATCCTTTTCTTTAACGAAGCTTTCAGCCCAAGCTGCTTGAGCTTGTTTAAAACCTGTGTTGGCGAAACTCGGCCTGTAGGATCTAGGGATTCAGCGATGTGATGACAACATTTCTCATCATCCTTGAATCTGAAATGAATTCATGAAATGCATGAAGTGATGTCTTCCAGGAAACAAGAAAATCGTAGCAATGTCTCAGGACATTACAGGTAAAGTGAGGAAGCTTGATGGAAGCACTTACTCCTCGTAGAGATCTTTGATCCTTATCTCCATTTCCTCCGTCAGCACAAATCTTTTCTTTCTTGGAAATTCCTTTCTGGACAAACTGCTGCCAGAAGTTGACGCCTTCTCATTCTGCAATTCATTTGAACTGTTTTCCATACTGCATATAGAGGAAACCACCCTAAATCATCTCCATTATCCTTGTGATGTAGCTAATATCAACAGCTGAAACACTAATCATAAGTGGGAGAAGACTTGATGTTTTGGGTTGCTAGAAATCTAGAACATGTAAAGCTCCAGGGAACTTACTGCCAATTCCTTTAACAAACATCTAATAAGTACACTTACTTCTGATTTTCCATGTCATGGGAGATCACGACATCAGCTTCATCATCACCCAGAGCATCAGCAATGCTTCTAGGAGCCCATCCTGTGGTCCCTGATGAACCAACTTCTCCATCGGCTGAAGCGCCATAGAAATCTTTCGTCTTTCTTCTTAAACCACCCAGCTCATGTACTAAATAGTCTGCATTGATGTAATTGCATTCACTTCTGGACTTCCAGAAGAGAACTTCGAGAAAAAGGAGGGGTTGATTCTTCATTTTCCTCAACATTCTCCTCACCAGAGTTGTAAGGAACTCTACAATATTTTCATATTCCTTGCACTGAGACGACTTTTGCTCATTGAGGATGTCATAAAATGTTGTGAGTAGAGATAACTGCAAAATTTCATACAATAAGTACCTGTTAGTGATAACATTTGGTACCATGCACTAAGTACAGCCAAAAGGAAGAAGTGAATAATAAAATTCAACCTGATATAGCATTGGAGAAAGGTCCTGGTCATCCGTTATCCTCCGCAGCATGGATATGATGTAGTGATTTGTCGTGAAGGAGTTGCTCTTATAGAATCTAAGCAACCAGCATAAATTGCTAACGAAGCTATGGTTCGCGAAAGATTTCATGAAAGTTGTGACATTAAAGTCAACTTCATAAGTAGAAACAGGTTCGTCATCAGCAGACTCATCATCTGAGCAACAAGACAGATCATCATCTATAGGATTAGGATCAGCCCTTATATCATCTGGCAGTGTATTACGGTCAGGATTTCCCATCTCTGGTGTTATCTCTGTTTGATCAGTAGGAATAGCAGTGTCAGGATTTCCCATATCTGGAGTGATCTCTGGTTGATCAGTAAAAATAGCAGGGTCAGGATTCCCCATATCTGGACTTATCTCTGGTTGATCGGTAGGAATAGCAGCGTCAGGATTTCCCATCTCTGCAGTTATCTCTGGTTGATCAGCAGGAATACCAGCGTTAAGGTCATCTTGTTGGTTAGATGTTATATTTTCCTGACTTCCTTTTTCTAAACTTCCAGAATCAGGTGGCTGTTCATTCCCATTCTGAATGGTGGCTTCACCTCCACTCGGTAAATCTTTGTCTTGTCTCTGATTACTTGAGGACTTCTTCTTTCGAACCTTCCTTGCCCCCTTAGAAACCTTAACAATCAAACAACATAGATTAGTATTATTTTCAGAAAGCTTATTCACAACCAGAAAAATTTGATCGACAGGAAACTTCATTGCATAAAATAAACATAAACCAAGATGAAAAATCAAGATATACACGCGAAGAGTGCATCTGCTAATAAAGATATGCTAAAAACATGCCATGAATAATGGTTATAAATTAATCTAGAAATCTGCTAAGTAGGAACATCTTACCCTCATAGTGCCACGAGTTTGAAGAAGTCCCATCAATCTTACAATAACATGAACTGTTTCAACCAAATCTGCAAGATCACTGAAAAGCAACTATGATGAATAATTGAGTACAACTTATGTATGAAACCCAAATATACAATTAGCAAAAAGCAGTCTGTACATCCTAAACTTAAATTATGCTGGACCACTCTGACAAATGTACTGTATGGAGAGCAGTAAGTAGAAACAAACTGGGGGTAGTTCATAATCTTCTCGTGGGATGACTGATGTCAGATAGGGTAGTTGAACACAGCATTGTGCACAAGATTCTCACATAAGTAAAAATGTATGAAGATGTTTGAGAGAAGAGAGAATGATGGTTGGTCGTTTCATAAGTATCGCCAATGATTTACAAGTGAAATGTTCACAAGCGCTGAAACTTTAGGTGCTAAAAAACATGTGCAAGTTCTTTTCTTTTTCTCAAGTTGAATATCGTATAGTTTCCAAGTCAAGGAGCACCAGAACCATGAAATGCATGCAGAGTAAAGAAAGGATAAGAACATTTAAACATGCACTGTGGGGTTTAGGTTAATTAATTGTGTGGGAGAAGAAGTACCTTTTCGATTGCTTATGGGTGTTGAACGATTTAATCAGGTTCAAGATGAATTGGGTCATCCCTTGGTCAGTCTGATCATAGAATAACTTGTAAAGCAGAATCCGAGCTGTCAGAGGCTCTTTAGAATTTTCAGGCAGTACCTTAAGCACCAAGTCTAGAATGCGAATCTGCACATGAAAGAAGCATGTCAGCAAGAGAATTGCACCGTATAAAGCTGAGACCCAATTCTTGTCCTGAAATGCCCAACTTCTCGGTGATGTTATCATATCTAGACAATTTATCACTTCACACCAAGTTGTATATAAATCGTGCCAAGCTGGTCTTTTTGCTGAGGTTACCCAAAAAACGTTTTGGGTCAAATGCCGAAATATTCTAGGTAGTTACAATCTATACTCTTAGCAAATAGTAACCGGTGTGCATCTTGCAACATTCTCTAGTTGAATGTTTATGTTATCCTTTTCCATTGTTTAGTTGAAGAAATACCCCAGATGCCGATCTTGAACAAACATGGAGAATCAGTCACAGTCCAATGTCCATAAACAACTGAGCAACACCATCCTTTTATCAGGTCAACGATTTAAACTAAATATTGCTCTCAGTCTGGCATTTCATATTTCCAAGTTAAACAAGAAAGCACAGATGCAATGGCAGACAAATACATGGGTCGGATTTAATTACCTTATGCACTACAAAGAGAAACAGAAATATCAAATACCGCTTACCATAATTTTCATAAGTGAACCTGCTACAGAAAGTAACTTGTATTCATGTGTTTGCTTCAGAGTATCAAAGGCATCCCGCCATGTTGAAATGACAAGTAGAAACATTGATTCCTTCATTGATTCTGCAATCGGTCCACATACATCACCTGTGAATACTGTATTATCAGCAGGGAAGCCAGAAGCTTGAGGAGAATCCCTTGCAGTTTCCGGCTGCCAAACAACCAAGGCTACTATCAGCTGAATTCCCTTTGAACGTTACATAAATCATTATTACAGGATTACTCAGGGCCCAATTAATAACACCACTTCCAACTATGCTTTTACAAACGGATGCACTATTCATATTCACTACAGAGGAACACTTCCAAATATTTGAATGACCGAGAATGGATAGAAAAGACCAAATACTCGTGCAAAGATATAGGAGGACATATCTAATCATATATCTAAGTCCTTCACTTTATCAAAATCAAAATAATATATTTAGAACATCAGTTAAATCTTACATAGGTGTAATAAGAGAAGGTTTAGTGTGTTTTATTTTTTAACGAAAAGAAGGCAAGTAGCATTGTCCCCCCTAATGGTATAAGGTGAGATTTGCTACCCTGTGGACCAAGCTAAGAATACACTTCGATGGTGAAACAAAGTTACTTCACATGCATTCTTTTATACCACATACATCTCTCAAGATTGCATCAAATGGGAAAAGAACCAGCTACGCTGAAAATAATTTGTAATACGCAGCCAATCTCTGGGAGCAATTGATTTTTATACCAAGGTAAGAGTAACATATCGAGACTCACCTTTGAATTCAAGAGCATGTAATACTGATAAGAAGTGGCAAACTGAACAACTTGGAAGAAAACAATGATATCGCTCTTCTGGATTCCATTTTGTTCCTTTTGGATATCTTCACGAATTGACTGGATCAAAACTAGAATTCCGGAGGATGATATTAAGTATTAGTGCAGGTTCATGGGATCAAGCATAAAGAAGTAGATTGCAATTTAAGTCTTAAATATGTACCATTATAACTTCCTGAAAGAAACTGTTTCATGAAATCATGCAGCAATTCCAAGATCTTAGGCTTCGTCACTGGAAACTTGGCATGGTCCCAGACAAATTTTTTAGACGCACCCCTTTGGATAGCATGAGGCTTAAGCAAAGCATTGGAAGCAGCACCAGGCTGTCCTTTGCATACTGCCGTAGAACCATCCTGAGAGAGAACAACTCAGTTAAGAATTTAGGAATGCAGAACCCCTCAAAGGCATCTCCCATGATCAAGGCATACCATGGTAATCCGAGAAAACGTCCCACTAAACTGGGAGTGGCGAGCTATATTCTGTGATCTGCACTGTTTAAGTTTCTTCTTTTCCTCTTCCATAATGGCCTTGAGATTGTCAACAGAAGCAATGCTCCCTTCACCGGCCTACCAAAGTTTATTAGTTAGATGTTAAGTACCACAAATATTTCATCATCAATACATATGACTAAAACGAGCTATAGAGTAGAAAGTCTGCAGACATGAAAATAGAATTGCCGACTATATTAGCTGGAAATTTCCACACCAGAATTGACCTGTTCTTTGCATTTTCTTTCGTCAAGTTGGCAAATGCTTCAGTATGCTTTGCACTAGTCTCTACATTACTAGGAAAGGAAGAATATGAACTTCTTCTAACCTTGGAATCCTTGAAACGTGCTTTGGCAATCAAATCCGGATCTTGCCCCAGAAAAATGTAATGGAAAACTTCTAGAAGAAGTAAGTTATCATGACGAAGGAAGCCACGTGAACCAGCAACATGCTGAGTCAATACTAAGATCAGGTCCATGACATTCTCGTTGAACAGGAGCTCAAGAAATCCATCTCTCAGTGACAGGAATTGACAAGCTGATCCCCCGACTTTCTGAGGCAAGGAAGCATCTTGAATTGCAAGGATGTTACGAAAGAGAGTCAGCACCAACTGAACCAACTTCCAGTCATCCTCCGTGAACAATTCACTGAGCATTACAGAACCATTAGAACAAATGCAAACAACTGCATTTACCTAAACAATAATTTTGCAAAGACATTGAGCAATTAAAGAAGTGTCCAGTAAGAAGTAACCTACCGCTCCAAATCTTCCAGTGGCCCTTCCAAAAGCGAAACGATGACAGCAACTGTGTCGCTACACGTTATCGCAGACTTCAGACCCCAAAGATACTCCAATTGTAAAGGGATTTCATTCGAGGAAGGGTCGATTGGCATGGTAAGGAACACAAAAACCTTCACTGAAATATCAATTGCACAAGAAACATCAACTATCCTCATTCCTCAGTCCTCACTACTCCGGAACAACTAATCAACGTGAGAAACTGCTAACTCACCTGCGTTCAAGACCAAATCTCGATCATCCTGGCAGTACTGAAACATCGGAATCAAATCCTTAGCGACTATATTCCATTTGCAAACTTGCTTGAACACTTCCCGCGTCTGCGGGTCATCACGCCTCAAAAACCTCACCAAATCCTTCAGATTCTCTGAAGAAAGCTTCCAACACGATCAGATCACTAACAGAAAACATCAACCGAAAAAAATTGAGAGTGAAATTTTACCTAGGCACTGCTCGCCCTTGGAGTACCCGATCCGGTTGCCGTCGTCGTCCTCCTCCGCTATGCCGAGGCCAGCGCAGATCAATGACAAGCCTTGCGTCTCCATCTTCAGCCGGCGATTTTGTTCCGAGCTTGCTGCGGTAAGGTGACAGAAATGGAGAGATTGAGAGAGGATTGACTGGGCGTCAGTCGCTGAGAGAGAGAGAGAAAGGGGCTAGGGCTTTTGAGGCGGGAATTTGGAGGAAAATTTTCCCGCGCTTGTTGAATGGAGAGTGAAACTGAAGACGTCAGTCACATTAGCTCGGCGGGCCGGGTGATCTAAATTAAAAATGGGCTTTGGGCCGTCTGTCAGTTCTGCAATGATCCTACCGGCGGCCCATCTTCTTTCCCTTCAAATACGGCACCGTTTCAAAGTCAAAGCCAGGCAGTCAACTTAGAATCAGGCAAAAATGCCGGACGTTTTGAACTGCGACACAAAGCTTCAAACGGGCAACAAGACTGTCTTCATTCTTCAACTAATTCCCTGTCGACACAAACTAGGCGGCTCCCTCCTTCCTCTTTGTTCCCTTCCTCTTCGAGCTTTCCGCCAAAAATCCACTGGCCGATTTCTCCAATCAAACCTCTCCCCATCCTTAAAACCTTCAGCTCAGAGCTGTTTCCCCTGTGCCGCATTCGGCATTACCCTGTTTTTTCATCCCCATTCGGAAGCTTCTCACGGCCAATGGCGCAAGTGGTGGCTACAAAATCGATTCAAGGCTCGCTGCTGAGCCCTGGCTCTTCTGGGTCGCTGCAAGAGCGAGCTGCGAGGCTGAAAGCTTCAAGCTTTTCCAGCTCCAAAACGTTCGGGCTCGAGAATGAGAAGAAGAGGAGCATTGGAGTTGCTCGTAGAAGCAGACCAATGGCGGCTGTCACGAGATCCGTCCGCATTGAGCCTGAAGTGGTTCCCGTCTCGCCCGAAGATGTTCCAAAGGTTAGCTCTCTTGACTCTGGTAGTTGGGTCTCCAATCAATTTTCCAGTTGGTGAGGAAATGAGGCGCCTTTTTTGGTTTTCCTGTCCATTTGGGGCTGATATCTAGTTACATTTTCTCCCCCATTTTGCTTCGAATTAGAGAGCGGAGAGGTTTATGGAGTTGCAGCAGTTTGGGGATACTTCAGTGGGAGTGTTGTCGAAGCCTACAGTGAAACGGAAGACGAAGATCGTTTGCACCATTGGGCCATCGACGAATACGAGGGAGATGATCTGGAAGCTGGCAGAAGCTGGAATGAATGTGGCTAGAATGAACATGTCTCATGGGGATCATGCTTCCCATCAGAAAGTGATTGACTTGGTTAAGGAGTATAATGCTCAATGCAAAGACAATGTGATTGCCATTATGATTGATACCAAGGCAGGTTTCGCATCTTTCCGGGCTTTTGCGATTTTCCTTTTGCTATCTTGAAATGCATTTGCAATGAGATTATGTGTTTGATTTGGATAATGTATGTTGATTACAGGGCCCTGAGGTTAGGAGCGGCGACTTGCCCCAACCGATCATGTTGGCGAATGGCCAGGAATTCACTTTTACAATTCGTCGAGGAGTTGGAACAGTTGATTGTGTGAGTGTGAACTATGATGATTTTGTCAACGATGTTGAAGTCGGTGACATGATTCTTGTTGATGGTATGTTCACGATGACTAGCAATCTGTATAACTGATGGTTTGGAGTAGGAAGACCCAACTCCAATTGACATTGTTTGTTGGCTCTTTAAACAATTTAGGTGGCATGATGTCTCTGCTTGTGAAGTCGAAGACCGAAGATTCAGTGAAGTGTGAAGTTGTTGATGGGGGTGAACTGAAGTCTAGACGCCATCTTAATGTTCGAGGAAAGAGTGCCACATTGCCTTCCATCACTGGTCTGGACCCCAGAACTCGTCTTGTGCTGTTTAGTGGCTAACTATTTTTTGGATTTGGTCTTGACTTCTTTTTGCTACTTCCTTGCCAGACAAGGATTGGGATGACATAAAGTTTGGAGTGGACAACAAAGTAGATTTCTATGCTGTTTCGTTTGTCAAAGATGCACAAGTTGTTCATGAGTTGAAGAATTATCTCAAGAGTAATATTTGGTTCACTTTGCTTGCTTATACAAGAATTTGAATTGAATTCTTATGATGTAGTCAAACCCAAATGCCGTAACCGTGATCCTACTATTCTGCAGGCTGTGGTGCAGATATTCACGTTATTGTAAAGATTGAAAGTGCAGATTCTATACCCAATTTGCACTCTATAATCACAGCATCAGATGGGGTAAGCAATTGGATATGTGCATTGTATTTTACAGGCCATATCTTGCAGTATTGATCGACTAAAGGGGAATGGTCATCTTATGTAGGCAATGGTTGCAAGAGGGGATCTTGGAGCAGAACTCCCAATTGAAGAAGTTCCACTTCTGCAGGTTAATAATTCAACTTTCATGGCTGGCTAATGCATCTAAGTCCACAGCAACTCATGTCTTCTTTCATATGAAATTTTAGGAAGAAATAATCCGATTGTGCCGAAGCATGGGGAAAGCTGTTATTGTCGCTACCAATATGTTGGAAAGTATGATTGTACATCCTACTCCAACCAGAGCTGAGGTATCAGATATTGCAATTGCTGTTCGAGAGGGTGCGGATGCAGTCATGCTTTCTGGAGAAACTGCTCACGGAAAGTGAGTGGCTTTCGCTTCTTGTGACATTTATATTGGATGTTTTAAGACGGCTCATGGGAAGTAAGAATCTTTGCTTTGTTGCAGATTCCCGTTGAAGGCTGTAAAGGTTATGCACACAGTCTCATTACGGACTGAAGCAACTTTGTCCCGCGGGCCAATGCCAGTTGATCTTGGCCAAGCTTTTAAGGTATGTGATAGATGATGAGTCTCAGCTTGTTCATCGAGCTGATTATCAGCTATTAACAGTTAAAAGCTTGTTATCATCCACAGAATCACATGAGTGAGATGTTTGCATACCATGCAACTATGATGTCGAACACTCTTGCGACATCAATCGTTGTCTTCACCAGGACCGGCTTCATGGCTGTTTTGCTTAGCCATTATCGACCTTCAGGGACAATTTTTGCTTTCACTAACGAGTAAGTGTTGCATTGTCCTGTTTCTAGACAAGTGAATAACTATAGTGAACGCTATTTTTTATTTAGAGGAAATACTTATCCAAATGGCAGTGTCCTTCAAGGAACTACATTGCTAATTAGATGTATCCAATGGCCATGCAGGAAAAGGGTACAACAGAGGTTGGCAGCCTATCAAGGAGTATGTCCCATTTACCTCGAATTCTCCGATGATGCTGAAGAAACCTTTGCGGATGCCTTGAAACTACTAAAGGCAAGCTTTCGTAACATAAACTGAGCTTAATTTTGCCTGGCTCAATTCGTAGTAATCTAAGCGTGATGGATCGTCCTGTCACAACATACTCTAGTTCTTGGGTTTGCTTATACCCATTCTGGATTTTTATTGTGCAGGATCAAGGAATGGTCAAGGCAGGCGAAGAGGTTGCTCTGGTTCAAAGTGGCAAGCAACCCATTTGGCGATTCCAGTCGACTCATAATATCCAGGTCCGCGAAGTATAGTAGGCACAACAAGGATAACAATCATCAAATCATTTCCTCACTCTTGTGCAATTCTAGATGAATCTGTAGATTTGTTTTTACTGAATTCTGCTCTGCTCTGTATCAAGCATTTTGTAGCATGTATTTGAAGAAACTAGTGGCTGTTCAAAGAAAAGCATAATGTACCCATGTTTGCAATGTTTGCTTTATTATTCCTTGTTTTACAAGGATTCCCAATATGGAAAGTTATCTCATTTCTCATACACTTTTCTGAATGGATGAAGTATACCCATTCTGAAGATCCCAATACCTAGACCAAAGCATAACCCCTCCATACTTGGGTGACTTCTTGATCAGAGGAAGAATCTGAGATGTCAGCACATCCGGCGGAACATACCCACTACCAGCTGCCTGAAGAGCCGCCGGCAAACCCAGGAATATCTTGCCAGCTTTAATCGAAGTCGTCCATCGATTCCACGAACTCACCAGGCTGTTTATGTCACCTGAACCTGAAGAATACTGGCACGGAGGGTTGTTATAGAACTGGATCCACACGTAGTCGAACAACCCTGTATTAAGAGCATTCCCCAAGTTTCTATCGGGGAAAGGACACTGAGGAGCTGCAGTCAGGTACACCTTTCGACGACCTCTCTTGCAATACGCAGACAAGTACCGTGCCAGATCCTCCCAGTACAGAGTAGAGGCCTCAATGTCGAAATCGATCCCGTCGAAGACAGCATCCCCCAGCGGACGAGACGACGACTTCCCTCCCAGGAAGTTGTTCCAGAGGTACTCTGCCACGCCCTTGGCATCTGCTCGAGATGCCAACGAGTAGTTCCCGATGCCACCTCCCAAGGAGAGCATTACTTTGATTCCTCTCGCCTGGCAGTCTCGGATCCCGGTGCTGACCCCCTGGCAGCCGTTGGAAGCCGGGTTGCAGTGGCCTGCCAGGTTGAGCTCGGGGATCTGGCCGTTGCCAAAATTGTTGAGGAAGGCTATGTTGACATAGGCGTACTTTCCGGTGGCACATGTCTCCGAGAGGGTCCCTTCGTTGCCGTTCTGGCCCCAGTAGATGGCCACCCCACCAGCGGCGGAGCAGGACTGGATTACTGAGAGCAGAAGGATTGGAAGGAGAACAATGAGCAGTTTGGGCTGGGAATTCTTCGCCATTGTTGCTCTTCAAGGATAATGAAGGTTTGAACTTTGTTGATGTAGATGACAGAAGGCTGGTGCTTCTTTATATAGAGACCTGTAGAGTGCAGGCCAGTAGCCTGGTGCGTGTGATCAGACTGTCCGATTTCGCTGACTTTGCCACCTCGGATAACTAAAATATAGTAGTTGTTTTCCAGCAGTGGGCGACCAAGAAATGGGAGAACAATTCAGCACATAAGACCGAAGAAAAGTTCAAAGATAGCAACTGTACATGCAATGGCGCTGAATGTATATGCACTATGGTCGTGCAAGGAAATTTATGAAGATGGGGAGGGTGTTGGAGTTGACCAATCAAAGTACAGCAAGCAAAAGGTTAATGCCGGTAGTGAGCAACTTGCATTTGATAAATTAGGAAAGGTGATGGAGGCTGATTTCTGAATGGTTGACTTGGAAATGCAATAGTCCTACTAGTGGGGTAAATCATGCCTAACCTTATCGGTGCTGGTAAGCCAATAAGCCATTCTCTGAATGATCGGTTGCAGCGCCGCCAGGATTGTTAATGGATTGAAGGTCTTGCACTTGCAGCAGCACGGATAAGATTTTACAATTCGATTGGCCACTGTTGGGGGAGCATTGCTGAACCGTTGAAGTGTTGTCTTGTTTATTCGTGCTTGCAGCTCAGTTTGGGCTGCTATGCACTATGAAATCACCTCACATCCAGGCCTGGAGCTGGCTGCCTGCGACCCAACCAAATACTTTCCCTCCGTTTTTCTCCCCTAGTCTGTCGCTTGACATGAACCTTCCAATCAACTGGCACTAGGAACTGCTGTTAAGTCGCCTTCTGATAACAAAATCACCACCTTCTTCACCAGTAGTCTCCACAAGAGCAGATTCCGTCGGAGAAACGATGGAAGCGGTTGGTATCTCTCACAATGATCTCACGTCCAGTGATCTTGGACATCAGCTTGATAGCAACATGACAATCCCCACAAACACGGAGATTCTTGGTGATTCTGATCGTCATCCCAGGCTTAGTATTCAGAAGAGCGAACGAAATGGCCAACTTCTCACTATGAACCACCAGATGCCCTTCTTTATCCTCTTCCTCCACGTCATGTAAAGCAGAATCAGTCTCTGGAGTGTAACCCAACTCCTTCATCTTCCCAACCAAAACATCGAGCTCTTTGTAGATCTTCTTGGACTGTGGATGAGACTGATCACCAGCGAGAAATGAATAAACACGGTCATCGATCTCGACATTACTAATCGCTGGTACTTTCGTGATTCCTTTGCTCATCATGATTGATCTGATTATATCCACATTCTGCCATCTTCCAGCCTTGGCATAGATATTGGATAGCAACACGTAGTAGCCTGATTGCTCGGGAGCTAGTTTGAAGAGTTGGTCAGCTGCTAGGAGCCCAACATCAATGTTGGAATAGACCCTGCAAGCAGATAAAAGTGCCCCCCAAACTCGTTCACTTGGCTCCATAGGCATCTGGGTTATGAACCGATACGCCTGGTCTATTCGCCCAGCTCGCCCCAGAAGATCTACAACACAAGCATAATGTTCCACCATAGGCGGTATCCCGTGCTCAGCCATTAGATCGAAGTAGTACATCCCTTTATCCACTAATCCTGCATGACTGCAAGCAGCCAGAACTGAAACGAATGCAATCGAATCAGGATTCAAACCGGATTCCTGCATTTGTGAGAAGAGCTTGACAGCTTGATCCCCTTGACCGCTTCTGCCATAAGCAGAGATCATCGAGGTCCACGACACAACGTCACGAACCTGCATTTCATCAAACACTTTTCTTCCCTCAATCAAGCACCCACATTTGGCGTACATATCGATCAGGGCATTCTCCAGAAGCAGATTAGGACGGAGGGCCTTTCGTACTACATAATCGTGGATTTTCCTTCCTAACGATGCAGCTGAAACGTCTCCACATGCTGGGAGAACTGTGGATATAGTGACTGCATCAGGTTCCAAGCCCTGCACCTCCATCTGCGAAAACAGATCGACTGCTTCATTAGGCATGGAGTTGTTCACGTACACGGAAATCATCACGTTCCAAGGAACCAAGCTCTTGTTGTTCGCCATCTTCGTAAACATGTCCTTAACATAGGACACGTTGTCCTGCGATGTGTTTGTCACCGCAGGCGAGAGGCTAGCCATCGTGGAAGAATCAGGTTTCATTTTGGCAGCTTCCATCTCTCTACAACAACCCAGTGCTTCATCGAATCGTCCGCTCTGAGCATACCCAGCGACCAAGGAGTTCCATGTGACCACATCTCTCTCAGGCATTTCATCGAGCACCTGGCGGGCGTCCTTCAAGCGCCTGCACTTCCCGTACAGAGCAACCAGGCAATTGTTAATAAACCGATTGGAATCCAGCCCGACTCTAACAACGCAGCCGTGAATCTGAACCCCGAGCCGCAAATCATCAGACCCCGAACACGCCTTCAGAACGCAAGGAAACGTGTAATGATCGGGAGCGAATCCGAGACTCCACATGCTGCGGTAAACAGCCAGAGCCTCCCGGTGGAGGCGGTTGTTGACGTAGCTCCTGATCATGACGTTGAAGAAGACGACGTTCTTGTCGGCGATTTCGTCGAACACATGGCGTGCGACTCTGGGACGGCCGCAAGCTGCGTAGGCCCTCATCAGCTTGATCCCGAGCGAAGGATTCGAGCGTAGATTGTGGTCAACCAAGATCCTGGAGTGCAACTTCCTCAACGTTGCCAGGTCTGGGAATCCGTCCAGAGTTTTGCCGCATGTGTCTTCCGTCAGTGATGCGCCGCCGACTCCTGGAGCCGGTTCGCGGTGGAGGCATTGAACCAAGTTTCGAATCCGTTGGGCGCCGGAGAAATGGCGGGAAGTACGAACTGCAGCTTTCATCAACGGGAACGGAAACAACTTTCTTCTCATGGTAAACCTTTTGTGGCCTTTTCCTTGCCGTATTACTCATTCCGAAGCCAAGAAGGAGACAGAACTAGTTTTCATTTCTCTCTATAAATATACGAAGCCATTTTTCCTTTCACCTTAGAAAAGCACAATGTCGTGGGCTAATCTTCCAACTGAGGTTCTCAATTTGGTTCGGCAAAGGCTATTACGGGAGGATTACTTCAATTTCAGAGCTACTTGTCGCGGCTGGAACTTCAGAGCCGATTTCGATCCGATCGTCTACGAGAATATCAAGTATCCGTTCTTGGTACGGTTTTGCGATAACGGTGTCGACGGGTCATACTCGTGCTGCAAGGCCTACTCCGCCGCTTACGACAAAACGTACCACGTTCGCGCACCGTCTCGACTCGTGGACGCACACATTTTCTGCTCGAGTCACGGATGGTTGTTGGTGGCCAGAGGTCGACGAGCGTTCTTCTATCATCCCTCCACCGAACACATCATTGTACTGCCGGTTCCCGAATCCGACGACGACAACATCCCGTTTCAGTCCATGAGTTTTTCGACCACGCCGGTATCTCCGAATTGTGTGGTGATCGGCATCAACGATTCGAAATCGAAGGTGAATTCGTGCTTTTCGGTCATTCGACGAGGACAGAGCTCTTGGAAGCACCATTCTCATGTTCCAAACTCAGCTACCATCAATTCTTAACTTCAAAGATGATAAAACGGACCTGTGTTACTGATTCTCTTGTCCTTGGACTTGATTGGCACCTGATGCCCCCTGTGCTCCAGCTTCCCCCTGCGCCCCATCTTCCGCCAGTTGTGCCGCCTGCGCTGCAGCTACCGCCTGCTCCGCCCTGCCCGAACCAAATTCATTAAATTAGTATAAAACATTGAAATTATAGGGGCATAATCGATTATCCAAGAATCAGCCTCTCTCTTCTTTCACGCGAGTCGTACCTTGCAAGCTTCTCCGCTGATTTCCTTCTGTTTCTGGCGTCCTTCCTTGCGTTGATTTGGCTTTTCTTCTTGTCGATGCTTGGTCGTTTGTCACCTTTCTCATTCTTGGTAGAACCCGCCATTGCAAGAGTTAATAAGCTAGGGTTCTTGACTGGAGAATTGTGTTTGCAATTTGGGTTTTGAACGGGGTGTTTCTGCAAGCTTGGGAGTGATAGCTACGATGGGTACTGTGTTCTCACTTATAACACAAAGGTGAATTAGGGAAAACAAGGTGTGTTTGTTGCCTCTTCCATTTTCCACAGCGTTTTCTCATATTTAAGTTTTAGTCGGAACAAATATATTTTTACACAATTTCCTTAATTTTTAGTAAAAGTCACTATTAACTCATAAAACTAGAACGAATTTCACTTTAAAAATTAAAACATTAGAAAAAAAATGTTATAATCCCAATAGTCATTTCTTAATTTTTATTTACTATTAAACTAATTATTCACCACTCTATCACCTACTTTACGAGTCGTTTGGATGAGGGTAATTTAATGTGTTATTTTAACCGAAATAAATCAAAATGAGTTAGGTTAAATTGCAAGTTTGGTCGTTTGAATTACTAGTAAAGTTCACGTTAGCCACTAGAATTACTTTATTCCATCAGCAGTCACTTAAATTAGTTCAAGTTTGATTTATTTCGGTTAAAATAACACATTAAATTACCCCTCATCCAAACGACTCGTAAAGTAGGTGATAGAGTGGTGAATAATTAGTTTAATAGTAAATAAAAATTAAGAAATGACTATTCGGATTATAACATTTTTTTCTTATATTTTAATTTTTAAAGTGAAATTCGTTCTAGTTTTATGAGTTAATAGTGACTTTTACTAAAAATTAAGGAAATTGTGTAAAAATATATTTTTTCCGACTAAAACTTAAATATGAGAAAACGCTGTGGAAAATGGAAGAGGCAACAAAAACACACCTTGTTTTCCCTAATTCACCTTTGTGTTATAAGTGAGAACACAGTACCCATCGTCGCTATTACTCTCAAGCTTGCAGAAACACCCCCGTTCAAAACCCAAATTGCAAACACAATTCTCCTGTCAAGAACCCTAGCTTATTAACTCTTGCAATGACGGGTTCTACCAAGAATGAGAAAGGTGACAAACGACCAAGCATCGACAAGAAGAAAAGCCAAATCAACGCAAGGAAGGACGCCAGAAACAGAAGGATATCAGCGGAGAAGCTTGCAAGGTACGACTCGCGTGAAAGAAGAGAGAGGCTGATTCTTGGATAATCGAGTATGCCCCTATAATTTCAATGTTTTATACTAATTTAATGAATTTGGTTCGGGTAGGGCGGAGCAGGCGGTAGCTGCAGCGCAGGCGGCACAACTGGCGGAAGATGGACCGCAGGGGGAAGCTGGAGCGCAGGGGGAAGCTGGAGCCAATCAAGTCCAAGGACAATAAAATCAGTAACACAGGTCCGTTTTTCCTCTCGTTTTATCATCTTTGAAGTTAAGAATGATGGTAGTTGAGTTTGGCAGTTGAGTTTGGCAATAGTTTGAATGTAGCTTTGAGTTTTTCCCAGCTTCCCTTGACACTAGGGAATTTGTCAATCTAGAAGAATCACAGAACACTTATAATCAATGAGCAGGCAGAATTACATCAAACAGAAAAGGTTATCATATGAATATGTGAGGGTATGATAAATCCTACCAAGCTAGTGCCATAAGTTTCTGTCTTCGCGTGTCTCCTGAGAAATCAACAGCCCATATACACAAGCAAGTCACAATAGACTTAGGTTGCATACCACATTGACCCTGTGCGATGAAAGGTAGGTTTGTCCTAAGCTGAGAGGCCGACCCATAATTCAACGCAAATGAAGCAAACCTGAACAAATTCAGAAGTAGCAAACAGAAGTTCTCAATTCTAACCTTGAAGCTAACTCTCCATCATTTACCCTAGTTGACTATCCCACTGAGTTTTGAGCTCCAGGATGACTTAAACCTAGGTCAATACACCACCACTGTTCATAGATGAGGAACCATTTGGGCAGAGATTAGAAACACTATGGGAAGCAGCATAAGGGACTACCTAGAAAATCCAGACCCTTTTTACTTTGCTATCTTTTCAGGGTAGAATTCTCCGATAAAGAGCCTCCAATCCGGATCACAGAACTGATTATACATTTCTTATCAAGCATCAGGATGTGCTCTACGTCCAGCCTAGAACACCTAGTACCATTGTTGAAGTATGCTAGGATAGAGTAAATGCTTCAGTACCTTGGCAAACACCTCATCCTTCATTTTCTCATTCACCTGAAAACCAAGACAAACCCAGAAGCAAAAATAATGTGAAAACTGAAACAGAACCCTAGAGCAAACAGAGCAAATGGGGAGGGGAAATGGAGAGGAAGAAAGAGATTGGTCCAAAGAAACATTACCATCACGACACGAAAACTCTTGAGTTGATCGGTTGGGGAGCATGGAGCGATCGATTTCATACAACCAGCTCACTTTAATGTGCTCTGCTGGATCTGCAAGCAGGGGAGACCGTGGAGACAAACTCAGAGTTTGAGACAGAAGAAGGCATTGTCAATACTAACAGAAACTAGGCTTCAGAAGCTCAGGCAAAAACTGTACCAGTGAAGATGTTTTATGGAATGAGAGCTTTTGTGGGCACTTAGTGTCTCATTTTGGAAGGAACTGTTTTTCATACGGTCTCATGCTTTTGCCATTTGAAATATCTTGAATTGTTTTGGAGTGACCTTCAAATCTTTTAATTTAATGCAAATTTAGTAGTTTCAGTTCATCACACAATCATCTTATTTAGATTTGCCTAACAAACTATTGTTTTATTGTTGCAGGTGGAAGGAAAGAAGTTCTCAATTCTAACCTGAACTGCCATAATCATACAAGTATTCTTGGATACCAAAAATACAAAGTATAACATTGAGCAGAATCTGAGGAATTACAAGTTCTAACCTTTTAGCGGCCAGAGGTAAAGCCAGTACCGCCAAAACGATTGCCAACACATACGCCCAATCTGCTAGAACCTGTCACATAGGTAAGATGCAAAGATTATGTCTCCTTCCAAACTACAAGCTACAAAATTATATAAGCACAATGGAACCAACTGCTTTCTATAGCTAACCAAACCAATCATGCAATTATCAGTCTCCGATGCAAATGCAGCAGATAACCTTACTTGGATTTCAATATCGGACTCCACTCTCAACTCAACTATGCTACAAAGGGATAACAATGAAATCTCATGATCTATACTATGATCAGAATTTGAGTCCAGGAAGCAGCATAAGAGCATGGAAGAGATTACTTACTTACAGTGAGGGGAAAAGGAAATCCAAAGGCAGCAACTTTCATCATCATCATCTCTCTTCGTTGCATCTGTAAAAGTTGATAATCAAACAAAAAGACACGAAATTTAGCAAACTATCAGTGAGATCCCATCAAAAGCACCAAGCTTTTTCTCTCTCTCGCTCGACTTACTGCTCTTGTGGGCTGAAGCAGAACGCCGCGTCGGAGAAGGAACAGAGACCTAACCCAATAACGCAAAACAACAGAGAGAAGCTGCAGCAGCTACCATTGAAATGAAGAGAAGAAAATGGCGAGGGGGGGAATTGAAAAGGACGAAAGGGGGGAAAACGTACAGGGACGATAGCGGAAAGCGAGGCGACCTCCTCAAGCCATTGAAATTGCTCGCTAATCTGAATCGAAAAAGAGGGAATCAGAGTGAAAGATCAGATACAGGGGAGGGAGAAATTGAGGAAAAGGTTGCGAAAAGGGATTTGTTTTTCCTTACTCTTCCTTGAGGAGCTTGTGAGGGTAGAGGGAAATTGGAGACGGCGGAGGGAAACCTAGTGGTCGGCGATTAGTCGTGCCAACACTCCTCTTGTTGTTGTTGTAACAACACTAGTCTCCAACCAATAGGAAGCTAGGGTTGTGATGACTTTTTATTAGTTCAGTTGACCTAGTGTAAAATCAAAGCAGGGGTATAATTGTCATTATGAAAAATCTGTTTAAATAATAAAAAAAAATTAAAAATTAAAAAAAATTAAAATATTTTTTATTTTCGGCCCAAAATTTTGGTCGCCGGAATTCGGCCACCGGTCACCGGAATATGCTTACCGGCGTCGGAATCTAGTCATCGGGGGCTGGAATATGCTTATCGGTGCCGGAATCTACTCACTGACGGTCATCGGAGTTTGGTCAACGGCCAACGACCACTGGATGTTATGGTCTGCATTGTGAGATTTATGGTTTGGTTTCTCATATTTTTGTATGCCTTTTGTGGTTTGCTTTATCATGTTTGTGGTTTGCATTAAGAAGTTTCTGGTTTGCTTTATCGTGTTTGTGGTTTGCTTTGAGAAGTTTCTGGTTTGCTTTCAAAAACTTTGTGGTTTGCGTTGAGGGGTTTCTGGTTTGTTTTAATATATTTGTAGTCTGCATTGGGACGTTTATGGTTTGCTTTTTTGTGGTTTGATTTACTGTGTTTGTGGTTTGCATTAGGATGTTTCTGGTGTGCTTCGCAAATGTTGTGGTTTGCTTTGCGAGGTTTGTGGTTTGTTTTAAAAGATTTGTGGTATGCATTCGGAGGTTTCTGGTTTGCATTAAGAAATTTCTGGTGTGCTTTCGAAATTTTTGTCGTTTGCATTAGGAGGTTTCTGGTTTGCTTTATTGTGTTTCTGGTTTGCATTAAGAAGTTTATGGTGTGCTTTTGAAAATTTTATGGTTTGATTTGTGGGGTTTCTGATTTGTTTTAATATATTTTTGGTCTGCATTAGGAGGTTTGTGGTTTGCTTTACCGTGTTTGTGGTTTGCATTATGAGGTTTCTGGTGTGCTTTCGGAATATTTGTGGTATGCTTTGTGGGGTTTTTGGTTTGTTTTAGGGAATTTGTGGTATGGATTGGGAGGTTTATGGTACGCTTTTTGTGGATTGTTTTACCGTGTTTGTGGTCTGCATTAGGAGGTGTTTGTTGTGTTTTAGAAATAGTTGTGGTTTGCTTTATGGGTTTCTCGATCTGCATTAGGAGGTTTCTGGTATGTTTTTTTGGTTTGGTTTATCGTAATTGTGATATGTATTAGTAGGTTACTAATATTACATTACATACATTAATTGCGGATACATAAGGAAAAATACACTATAATTGGGGGAAGAAAATGAGTCCGGATCTGGTGACTAAGGGGGGGTCCTTAGTCACTTGACTAAGGCCCCCTCAGCCCTTGGATTGATCTAATGGTCCAGATAAACCAATTAATTAATATTAAATGAGAAGGGTAGTTTTGGCATTATATAAATTATTAACTTCTATTTTTTGATTTTGTTTTATTTATTATTATTGAATACTTTTTTCCATCTGCTACGTCTCTTCCCTTTCCCTTTTTTGCAATGTCGAGAGAGAGAGAGAGAGAGAGAGAGAGAAAGTCGTGGGCGGAGGATGAGAGAGAGAAAGAGAAACGCGGCGGCTACGCTGGAGGAGAGAAAGGCGGTGCCAACGCCGGCGATGATGGAGATCTCGATGGCGCCGACGACGGTGGAGAGAGGCGGCGACCTCGATTGAAAGATAGAGAGAGAGGCAGCAATGGCCGTTGTCGCAGAGAAACAGAGGAGAGAGAGAGAGATCGTGGCGGAGGAGAGAGAGGCGATGGCGGAGAGAGAGAGAGGCGATGGCGGAGAGATCTTCGACGATGATGGAGGAGAGAGAGGCGATGGCGGAGAGAGAGAGTCGGCGGCAGCGGCGGCGGTGGAGAGACTTCGTATACGTCGTCTGAAGGAAGAACAGTGATTTGTATAGTTTGTATGTTTTGTAACATTAGTTTGTATTGTTAGTATTTTTGTACAAAATGTCAGTATGGTTTGTATAGTTTGTAACATTAATTTGTACTCTTAGTACGTTTTTCTTTGACAGTTTGTACTCTTAGTATGTTTTTCTTTGACAGTTTGTATTCTTAGTATGTTTTGCTTGTATTCTTAGTATGTTTCGCTTTGTATTGTAAGTACTAATAATTTGTATACTTTATATGTATTGATTTGTGATGCAAAAAACATTACAAACATGGTTGACAAAAATGACAAACATGTGGACAAAAATAACAAACATTACAAACAATACAAAAGAAACCAACAAACATTACAAAATAACAAACATTACAAACATTGCAAACAAACATTACAAACATTACAAACAAACATTACAAACAGTACAAAGCATACTACACGTACAGAATATCACTACTTACAATACAGATTGGTAAACTTGTATTACAAACAAATGAATACAAAGTATACAAATCATAACATAAAAGTATACAAACTTGAATAACAAAAGTTACAAATACAAATCAATGAATAGAAAGTGTATGAATCATAACATAAAGTATACAAACTAGACAAACAAACATTACAAACATTACAAACATTACAAAATAGTAATATAAACATTACAAACATCACGAACTCAATACTGTTGCCGGAAAATCATCCACCACCGTCTCTGGTCGCCGGAAAACTGCTCCGCCGTCGCCGGAAAGTTGACTCTCTCTCTCTCTCTCTCTCTCTCTCTCTCTCTCTCTCTCTCTCTCTCTCTCTCTCTCTCTCTCTCTCTCTCTCTCTCTCTCCTGGGGAGTAAAATCACGAACCAGAGAGACCAAGTAAAAGGAATCTCTCTCCTGGGGAGTAAAATCACGAAAAAAAATGGCCAGGGAGGCCAAGGAAAAGGAAAGAAAGAATGGAGAAGAATGGGCAGAAGGCCATGCTGGCCATGGAATAAGTCCGGCGAGGGGGGATTCGCCGCGCGAGGGACCGGCGGAAGGTCGGCTTCGGGAGATATCTGGATGTATTTTTTTATTTATTTTAATTGTTAAATAAATTAAATGTGTAATTACAATCTTATCCTTCATTAAACTGAATAAATTAGGACCATTAGATTTTAATGAGGCTGGATGGTTGAGATTGGCTTAGTCATGTGACTAAGGGACCCCCTTAGTCACCTGATCTTAGCCCGGAAGAAAATGTGCATTTGCCAAACTTCCATCCAATTAACTAACTAACTGGCAAAAAAAATTGAATTCTCCCACCTCACCATTGACAATAAAGAAGAAGCTTTTGAGTGAATTTCACATCATTCTGATAGTGCAGAACAGGTTGCAAAATGAACCAAACTTGGAAGATGATAAGAACAAGCAACTCTTTTTTTAATATAAAGCTGTTACTTTTTGTTCCACTAACGCTAACTTCAGGGCTCGACTTCTGGCACACACTCTTAAAAAATAAAAAGCTGTTTATTCCTTCTTGTCATTGTGATCATACTTCCTTGACCAAACAAATCGCAGCACTCACCATTTAACAAATCCTTCAATGGTCCTATGTTGCCCACATTGCTGCCTACATCATCGATCACGATCACGACCTTCATTCGACCAAGGCGGTGAGGCTTTAACTCGTATGATAATGCTGATCTGTCACCACTCTCATCACCCAACAGTTTCGAGAAAAAGTCACATTGCAGATCTCTGTGAAGTGATGCATCTGCAAAACTACTGAAGAGGTAGGAAGCCTCAAATTGACGAGAGAACAGGTTGAATATGGCCTTGGCAAGAGGCCGGCCATTCCCCGCAGATCTTCCAGTACAAGGGATTTGTGAAAACAAGCCACCGTCAATTAAAGATTACCTTCTTCCTTCGGTGCCGTCGGGCGCCGACAGTGCATTCACTGGCTGCGTCGCAAGTGAAGGAGGTGGCGGGACCACCGCTGATGTCGTCAGAGTCCTCATCGACGACGACGATGAAGCAACTCTCTGTCGAATCTAGTCCTAACCTGAAGAATGGAGCCCTATTCACCCAAACACCATCAAAGACAATCTCCCCGCCGACCACACGCCGCCGTCGCTCTCCCCGCCGACCCTCTCCTCGACCTCGTCTCTTTCATCTTCTCCCATCGCCGTCGCGATGCACCCCACACCTCTTCCTCCTCTGCAGTCGCCCTTCTCGATTCCGCTTCCGGCCACTCAATCTCTTACCAAGACCTCTTCCCCCTCGTCAAATCCACAGCCTCTGCTCTCCACAAATTGGGCATTCGCCACGGCGATGTCGTCTTGCTCGTCCTCCCCAATTCAATTTGCTTCCCCGTCGTCTTCCTCGCCGTCCAATACGCCGGCCCCGTCGTCGCCACCATGAACCCTCTCGCGACCATCGTGGAGATCCAGAAGCGCATTGCCGATTGCGGCCTCCGTTTGGGACTCGCTGCGCCGGAGAGAACAGAGCGGAAGGGAAAGCTTTATTTTTATTATAAATTTCCAATTTTGCCCTTAATGAATTATGTTGTTACGGTAACAACAGATAGGGTGTTGTTATTCTATCCTATCCCTTGGTCACGGACATCCGGTTTCAATCCTATACTGCCTCACCAGAGCTTGGGCCTGTGTGTAATTGTAATGCTCGTTGGGCTTTTTTTTCATTCGAGGCCCAAACACTGAAAAGCCCCCCGGCCCCAAGTGCTCCCACTACCCAAAACCCGGATCAATTACAAAACCGGTCACTAAACTTTAGGGTTGTTAACGAACCAAGCTATTCGCGAACGGCTCGGTCTCGAACTTGATAAAATCTCACTCGATTTAATAAAAGCTCGATTCGTTTATTAACGAGCCGAGCTTGAGCTCGACCTTGTTCGGCTCATGAGGCTCGTGAACTAGCTCGATTAGGTGGCTTGTGTTAGTTCGACTCATGAACTATCTCATTTTGAGCTCGTGAGATGAGATGTCTCAACATTTTAACTAGGTAGCCAACTTGATTACGACTTGTGAGAAAATCGATCTATATATCTTAAGAGTTGGTTTGTTAATGATGCATATATTTATTAAATTGTATATCACACCTCATGTGATGTTTAATAATTTGAGTATGTGAGCAAATATGTCTAGTATATGACAAGAAAATCAGTTAATCACATGTATCATATATAAAGTATAATTATTAGGGTATTTAATTCATAAATTATCTTAGAGTCGAGCTCGAGCCAAAATCTTGATCTTAATGATGAGCCAAAATTCAATAAATGAGATGACTCGTGTTCGGCTCGACTCATGTAAATATCAAGGCTCCAGTCACCAAAAAACCCCTTCCAGAGGACATTGTTTCTATAAGCAACTGCAAGTATTTGTTTCAAGATCTCATTGATGCTATATAGCTCCAATGTCTGATTGCAGTACCTTCCAGCGAATAGAATCGGTAGCTTGTATCTTAAGAATCTGGTTAAGGCAAATTGCACAAGTTGATAAGCATAAGTGCATAAATGAAGATGCATTGCACAATATATCAAAGCGTGAAGGATACTCTCCAACTGTTCTTCTCAGGCAGTCTCGGTTGATCATGGATTAGATGCCTTGGCAACGAAGTCTCCTTGAGTAAATGAGTAATTGAACTCCATCACAGCTGCAACGTCGGAAACGTACTCAGATTTCACATTTTCTATACAACCAATACACAGATGAGTTAACGAGTCTCTCAGCCGAAGCAGCAGAGGTCCACAGCATTAGATTCAAGTCCCTGTTGTCTACTAACACATGCATGGAAACCTCACATTTGTTCTGATCCAAATTAAAATCTGGAAGGGAGTGATTATCATCCAATGACCAGCCCATCCAATGTCTGGTTCAATCTTATATGCAGCAGATCTCAATAGCATAGCTGAGGTACATTCCTCGTGCACAAGAAAGCATATTGAGTAGAAAGAGTTGCCTGAGTAGCAAGAGCTAGCACTCAAAATTGAGCGTAGGTTTGGGTCTGGGAGTCGAGGGTTTACCTAACCAGCCATATCAACCCAACTCCTCCCAGCTTCTTTTACACCAGAAGCTTTTGCAGTTTCCCTAACTCTGTCGAGATCGTCCCACATTTGCATCGTTGCATAAGCATTCGAGACCATTACATACACAGACGGATCATCAGGAAAGGCAACATGGGGGGTTTTCAGCTATACCACTAATCATCTCACTGTTCTTATGAGTAACGCAAGCTGCAAGCAAGGAGCTCCATATCGTTTTGTTAGGCCTAAGTGGCATCTCAGTAATCAACTTCCTTGCCTCCTCTAACAGCCCAGCTTGACCAAGTAATTCCACCATGCAGTAATAATGTTCTACCTGAGGTTCAAGTCCGTGATCAGATATCATGGACCGGAATAGCCTCCATCCATCTTCGACCAGACCTGCATGTCTACATGCGGCAAGAAGCCCTAAGAAGGTGACTTCATTTGGCTCTACTCCTGACTTTATCATCTCTTGGAATAGCTCAAGAGCTTCACTGGCTTTTGCCATTCTGTCCACACCCGACAATGATCCCCGTCCAACACACGACGACATCCCTATCAGATAGACCATTGAAGAGAGCTATACTCTCTTCAATTTCACCACATTTCGAGTACATATCAACAAGAGCTGTGGCTGCTACTGCTTCGGTTTCATATCCTGCCTTGATGCAGAAGGCATGAATTTGTTTTCCCTTTCCAAGAGATGACACACTTGAACAAACTTTCAGCATGGCAGAAACAACATATTGATCTACTTCAAGGCCTAAACTGACCATATCTCTGAACAGGGGAAAAGTTTCTGAGCTCACCCTTGCTTTGGCGCATCCTATTATTAATCCAGACCAAGCTATGGAGTCTTGCTCGGGAAGCCTGTCAAATATTGCAAAGGAGTCCTTCATTCTCCCCAATTTTGCATATAGATCAGTAGCAATGCTGCCCACAACACAATCTAACTCGTACCCGCTGATGACAATAAGACCGTGAACTTGAACTCCAAGCCCGAGGTTACACAAGTTGATGCAGACCTTCAATGCACTACTCCAAGTATAGGAGTCAAAAAGAACACCAGAATGATGGATGCTAGAAAGCAAATTCAGGGCTTGGATATGTTCACCATTCCCCACATACCCAGAAACCATAGCATTCCAGAATGACAAGCTCAAACAATTTGACCCGTTTCTGGTGCAGTAACTTTCAAACAATCTAACTGCTTCATCTAAAGCACTGGAATTTGAATACATATCCACTAGTGCAGAGAGGGAATAGGAGTAACTCTTGAAACCCGACTTTAATGCATATAACAGTGTATTTGCTTTCCCATGGCAAGAAAACCAACATGACCACCACAAATTTTAAGAGCACAAGGGAAGGTGAACTCGTCGAGCTTAAGGCCTTTCTGGTGCATCTTACGAGCGAACTCTAGTGTCCTTATGCTCCCATTGTCTGCCAAACCAGCAATGACAGTGTTCCAGGAAGCAACATTTGGGTCTGGCATCTGCTGAAACAAATCCACCGCTTCCATCATCAAGCCCTGCCCACAGTACCTGAAATGAGTGTATTCCAAGAAGTGGTATTGGCAACAGAAAGCATCCCATCAAAAACTCTCCTTGCATCTGTCAATCTACCACATTTGACGTACATGTGCAAAAGGGTATTCATCAGAATGACGTCCTCTTCCAAATTCTCTTGACTAGTCCTCTCGTGTATCTGCCTACCCAGTTGAACATCACCCACCAGCCCACACGCCTTCAACACAGCGGAGTACATGAACCCAGTAGGCATCACTGACTGAGCGCCCGACATCTTGTTGAACAGTTCTATGGCATCATAAGGCTTTCCACTCCTGGTGCAGGCATAGACCACTGATGTCCAAGTAACAATGTTTCTCACAGGCATTTCATCGAACAGCTTCCTGGCATTGTTCAGCTGGGTGAAATCAGAGTACAAAGTGATTAGGTTGTTCATCATGTAAGCATCTCCTGGAGAAAACCCCGTTTTGATCAGGTGGGAGTGGAATGACTTGCCATGCTTGAGAGCGTGAAGCCTCCGGCAGCAGCACAAAGCTTCCACTATGTGCTTCAAATCCATTATCCTTTTACCGGTACTTCAACTCTCTTTCAATTCCAGAAGCACAATGAAGAACACTTACAAATGAAGAACACTATTGGACTTATTGGGCCAATGTTACAACTCCTTAACTCTTGTACTAAATTTCTGAAATCTGAATTACTTACAAATGAAGAACACTATACTATAATGTGAGAAGAAGAGATGTTAGAACCTTAAAAATGAATAACTGAATGAGCAACCAAAGTTGCCAAACTAGAACTGAGTTAGCATAGTTAGAACTGCTGGCAATAGAAGCCAACATCATATCATTAATCTCGAAACAGAGCCTTAGACACTGAACCACAAACATTACCGCCACCTTGCTTCTTCATCTTTTCATTGCTGCTGCTGCATTCTCCTCCCTTGAATGATCTATCTTCTTTCCCAGTCATGGGAGTCTCCATAACCACATCAAAGCTCCCTCTTCTACGTGTATCTCTCTTCGAGTGCCTTCGATCGTACTTGGGTTTCTTGGATTTCGGCTGCTGCTTAGGAGCCCAAACTTTGTGAAGGTCTGGAACCCAGCTGGTGAAAGAAGAAAACCTCCTCGCCCTCTGTCTTCTCTCCTGAGCTTCCATCAGTTTTCTGGCATGATCATCATCCTGTTTCATCTCATTGTTTTCTGCAGGGATTGGATCGTTCATTCTTGTCAATCTGTCGTTCCTCTCATCTTCTGTCTCTAGTCTTTCTTTCAGGGAGTGATTGCTATCCTCGCTGTTGAGCAATGGCTTGGAGGGTTCTTCCTCGTCTTCGAACAGCAAAAGATCTAATTTTTCATAGATCCTGTGAACAACTTCACCAAGACTATCACAATACCTGAAAATTTTGACAAAATAGATAACTTGACATTTTTACTGGTTTTCCTCTCAAACAACAATAAAGGTGGGAAGGTTAACTAAGGGAATGTTTGGCTGATGGATCTGGGTGATGATTGTTGCCCATAATCCATCAGCAGGTGAATTTGACCGAAACCTCTAGTCTAGATGGTCTGTCTTGGTGGCATAGAGAGATTTTGCAAATATAGGCATGACTGGATTTGAAAATATCAACTTGGGTAACCACCCATGAGGAATTTTTTCCAGAGATTAGAACGTGAAAACCTCAATTAGCTATTTCAACAGACCATAAAGCTTGATGCATTGTATTGGCCTGTCATATCTCATATGCATATCTACCACATTAGTACACCTAAAACGGGGTAGAAATAGCTGACCATATCGTTAATTCATTTCCTACAAGGCTGAAAAGCGTTGCAATGTTCTCCACTCCCAGAAAGGAAATGATCTCAGATTCTCAGTTCATCAGATAGACATACCTGCTTTTTATCATCTTCCCTATGTATTTATCAAGATTCCAATCACCAAAAAACCCTCCTTCAAGACGGCATTGAATGCTCTCTAAACAGGAGCAAATTTGCTTCACAAACTTTTGTTTCAAGGACTCCTTGATACTAGCTCCAATGTCCGATCGCAGTATCTCCATGCGAAATAAGATCTGCAGCTCATATCTTAAGACAGCTTAAGGAAAATTGCAGAAGATGCTAGCCTGCTTATCATAAGGAAATGCATATGATTGAAGATGCATAAAAAGAACATTAAAGAATAAAAAAGGATACTCTCTAACTAATCTGTCTGAGTCAATCTCACCTAAAATATGATTAGATGCCTTGGCAACCAAGTCTTTAGGCTCCTTAAGTAAAAGTGTCATTAACTGCCTTGAGACAGTGCTATTCGAATCATCCTCACTTGATCTCGGGTCTTTACTTTGAACCTCCTCATTGGTTTCATCTTCAATTTTCTTATACAACCAAAATACAGATGAGATAACTAATCGCTCAGCCAAAGACCCCAGGTCCACATCATCAGATTCAAGTCCCTGTTGAATTTTGTGAGGGAGATCATCTAGGAAACTTTCCAAAGTTTGTGACTGAAAGTCATTACCAACCTCATCGTGCACACGAGAAGCCCCAGTCAAAGAATCCTCTCCGACTGAAGCAGATGATGCAATCGGCCGTTGTGCAACATCCTCGGGTAACTCATTCAATCTGTCTTCTAATCTTGGGGCATCATCATAGTGTAGTTTATCATTATCTGGTATGATGACACTACTAGACTTCTTAACTTCTTTCATCCAGCATTTAAGAAATTTCAACTTCTTTGACTTGTTGCTTGCCTTGACAAAGTAAACGTCTTCCAGATCTATCTGTAAGTGTTCCAGTGCCGCCTTACAAAAGTCAGACCAAGTAAGCTCCTGAAGCTTATTCAAACTCTTTTTCGACTTCTTTTTCTTCCTGTCATCCCAACCTCCTATTAGCAACGGTTTCCCATATGGCATAGGACCAGAACTAGAGCCAATATGTGATCTGCCAGAATCCATGATGGAGTTTACGGTGCCTTTGTCCATATCTGCAACAACTTGAACAGGAGGTCCTCCATTAAGTCCATGACCCTTGAAGTTGTCCGATTTGATCCACAGGAGAGCTGAAGAGACTGTGAAAGGCTTGAGAATTCCAGCAAGTGAGCAGCCATTACCATTTGAAAGAGACACCGAACCCCAATAGCCCTCCCTATAAAGGAAACTCAAGAGAATTTGCCAAATGGGTCCAGACCTCTTTGTTAGTGATTCCAACATTTCTGGTTCCAACATTTGAAGAACCTTATCTTCAAACAACTCACTCTTATTTCCATGTTGTTCTTTCTCTATACGCCCAGAAACTTCATGTACTAACACTGGAACAGGCAGGTACCCTCCAGATTTGACATCTACAACATCCATTTTGACTGCCTTCACATGGAGTTTTGAGTTTCCATCACCAAATGCTTCCCAAACTGACTTTTCCTGTTCAGAGCTAGCTAATTTAGGAAAACTGTTTGAACCAGACAGTTCAAGGTCACAGCACTTGCACTCCAAAGGCTTTCCATTCACGTTTAGTATCTCAAGACTCAACCTTGCAAGAATCATCTTCGAGCAACAGAAATCAATGGCCTTTGGCGAAATCCCGATCTTTGGATAAATCAACCCAAATGGAACCACTGCAGACCCCAGCACAACATTATCACTGGAACAAAAGCCCCATCCTAAATCCCTAATCCCACTCTCAAAAACGCCAGATCTAACCAGAGATTCATCACAACCATCATTAACTTCCCAACTACCGAGCGGACACTTCACATCAACCCAGCTGAAATGAATATCTCTACTCACAAACGCATCATTCACACCCCCAAATAATCTACGATACCTGCAAGTGAACTCCTTCACATCTCTCAAGCACTCATCATCCGTATCCACACCCAAAAACTCCGACAATCCATTCACAGACTTAATAATGGGGGAAAACAGAACAATCAAATTCGACCTAACTGGAGAGAACCCACAATTCAATGGCGTACCGTCAATCGAGCTCGAGACGACCGAATCCCAGGCGTAGTCATGAATCAGCTGGCGCATCGAGGCGGCGAGATGCGAAGCCCTCGAGAAACGGCATCCATTCCAGTCAATTTTGGAAATAACGGACGAATTGAGGGTTTGGGAGAGCGAGTCGTAGGTGGAAGCAGGGCGGTCGAACGAGAGCGAAGACGGAGACGGGATCGGAAGCTTGGAGGAAGAGAGGAGGGGAGACAGGGAAGAGAAGAAGAGCTTGAAGGAGAAGAGAGAGGAAGCTAGAGGAGGGAAAGTGACCAGGATTCTGATGGCGGAGAGGAGAGAGTCGATGTAAGGGCGCGGGTCTGGGAAATGAAGAAGTGGGTTTAGGTCGACGAGAAGGACCACGCGCTGGGTTTTCCTGTAATCTGTGACTGAGTCGATGGTTTCCGCCATTGCCGACGAGATGGAATTCCGGTCAGAGCAATCGCCGGCATAGAGTACTATGAGATCGGCCAACGAAAATTTCCGACGGAGGAGGAACTGCTTGCTTGAGGGGCGGCGGAGGGAATGCGAGAGTCGTATTGGGGACAACACGAAGCCGTTTCGTGAAATTTTTGGATCGAGCAATTTGAAGAGGTGAAGGTTTTGAAATGGCGGGATTTTCATTTTATTTTCAACTTGTTTGAATGGCAAGGTTGTCAAATTTGGGGAGTGATATGATGGTCCAACCTGTTTTGGGGTTAACCGGGCTGACCAAAATCTATCAATGCCGAATATGACCCGGTTCGACCCCGGGCGCGTGGATGAACCGATGAAGATAAGAAACTGAAACTCACCCGCTCCATTTCCTCCCCTTTCCCTCAGACACTGAAACTTCTCACAGGTGAAACCATAATCCCAAAATACAGATTCAATCGCAATCACTATGTCGTACATCTCTTCCTCCATTACCGGAACCACCAGCATCCCAGCGTTCTCTATCCGCTTCTCAACTCCTCCGTCCAAATTCAGCTCCCTCCCCACATTACACCCGTCTTCTTTCCGGCGGCCTACGCCTTCCTGTCGCCGGAGAAAAGCAGTGAAGCTACTTCCCTGTAGGTCGTCGAATTTGGACGACGGATCGCCGGCGAGCGAGGAGGAGGAGGACGATTGGCGGGAGAGGGCTCCGGATAAAAAGAAGCCACTCTACTCGCACAGCCTGCCTTGCATCGAGGCTTGGCTCGAGGAATTAGGGTTTCGCCAGAGCAAAGAAGACCGCGCCGTTTGGTTGGTGGAGAAGCCCGACTGGCGCGCTCAGCTCTCGCTCGATCTGACCGACCTTTACATCAGGTACTTGAAGAGTGGACCGGGGAGCCTTGAGAAGGATGTTGAGAGGAGGTTCAGTTATGCTTTGAGTAGGGAGGATATAGAGAATGCTGTTCTTGGAGGACCTTAGTTCTTCAATCTTCCTTATGGTTTGCTGCGTTACTTCATATTTGGAGCTTTCGTTTCCTTGTTTTTGCTGTGCCTACTGCAATGAAGCTTTGAGACCGTAATATGAAGTGCCTTCCACTCATTCCAGTTGTGTTCTGTTTATTGAGTAATATGACACCTTAGTGATTGCAGAATTTCTGGCTTGATAATAGGTGTTGCTCTTTGCATGAATTGATTGCTTACATTCAATTTCTTGATAGGGGCCATTTTACAATCTAATTCTAGACTGAAGGTCTAGATATGGCTAACTAATAGAGGAGCAGCAGTTTTCCTTCTCGCGCCTGGCTCCCCAGTTCATTTTGCAAGTTACTGATTAGTTACAACAGTTTCTGCAAGGCTACAACAACCAGAAGGTCTAGTTGCTGATTCGAGAGGAAAATTCTGGCACAACAAGGCTTCTCAGAAGTTCTTTTTTTGGGGGTCACTGGGACTCTGAAGATTGAGAATGAGACCAGTACTCTTTGACAAGCTGCCCGAACAAGGAGTCTTCCCTCTTCATTAGCTGCATAGGCTCATCATACTCCACCAGTCTCCCTGTTCACAAGCCAAGCAAAATCAGAATGAATTATTCTACATACATCAGCAATCAATCTCCAATGCTCTTGTTTTCAGCTGAGGAGCTGGAAGGATGAATTTACCATCTTTAATGGCGAGCACCATGGTGCAGTCCATCACGGTTGGTATCCTGTGAGCTACTGTGATGACTGTGCAATCTGCAAACTCGGTCCTAATGGTTTTCTGCAGTATCAAGTCGGTTGCATTGTCTATGGAAGCTGTTGCCTCGTCGAGAACAAGGACTCGACTTCTCCTTAGGATCGCTCGGCCCAAGCAGAATAGTTGCCTCTGCCCCATGCTCCAGTTTGATCCATCCTCAACAACTGTTTGTTACAGATGGTTCTGAAGTGAGTGCTCACTCATCATTTGATCTCAAACCCAGAACCTAAAAGATAATAACTTCCACTAAGAATTACCTAAGGAGTCCAATCCCTCTTCTTTCTCCTGGATGGCCTCTCTTAGCTGGCACTTTCCTAGTACCTGCACAATGAAGACATTACAATATCTTCTTTCAGATTGGCAGGCAGTCCAGGATCGTACTACTACCCAGATGAATAACAGATTGCAAGATTTTCACCTCCCATATCTCCTGGTCAGTGTGCTGAGCTAAGGGGTCCAGGTTGTATCTCACAGTTCCACTGAATAAAGTGGGATCTTGAGGTATGATTCCAAATCTTGACCTAAGATCATGAAGTCCTATCTTGGTTATATCAATACCATCCACAACAATCTTGCCTCCTGCTGGCTCAACCAGACGGAATAGAGCACCAATGAGAGTGGTCTTCCCACTGCCGGTTCGCCCGACGATGCCAATTTTATGCCCTCCTTGGAATGTGCAACTGATCCATTTAAGAACAAGTGGTGCTTCAGACCTATACCTTATCTGTTTCATTAAAATGGCAACTTCTTCAGTTGTGCTGACTTCTGTTATTCACAATAGTTACATTAGAAGGATCCTGAGTGAAGTTCTTACCTTCAGGTCACAAATTTCCACTTTCCCCACTGATGGCCAGGATGGTGGGGGACGGTTTTCTTTAATCACTTCAGGGGCTTCACTGGGTATATGCATGTACTGATTGAGTCTTTCAACTGAAATGATGTAGTTCGCTAATGTGTTTTGGTTTTGAATCGAAAAGACAAGGGTCATGTTTAAGGAAAGACCGTAGGAGAGTGCCATTCCAATAAACCCTGCAGATAAATGACAGCTCAGAATTCAGCCAAGTCTAGTTTTTTTTCTAGAGAATGAAAGTTGAAAAAGAAGTTGGCATCTTTTTTCTTACCAGAGCTGAAAGTCCCTGGAGGCAGCAGAACCATGCAGAGAGCTGCAGAAGCTAGAACGGCTGCACTCATGGTCTCCAACCGTTGAATCAGCCACTCGTTTGCTGTGAAGCTGTGGAAGAAAGGACTAGCATTTTTGTCAATGAGGTCCAGATTCTTGGCAAAGAAACGCTCCTCTTGTCGGAAAGCACGTATAGTGATTGCCCCTGCTACGGATTCCGCCAGATGATTTGCCACATAGGACTTGGTGGTGCCATTTATCCGCATGAACTCTTTCGCAGATGAGAAATAGTATTTCTGTGGAGAAGGATTGAACAGGTTATTGCTCTTTTCTTGTCTAGGAAATGTGGAAGAACAACAAAACCAGTTTCAAGAACATGGACAGAAAGACATGCCTGTAGACGAATTGCCAGATAAATCATTGGGATGGACACGAACAAGACTTGCCATGTGATAACCGCCAGAACTCCAAGATTAGCATAGTTATTTGAGGTCGCCCCAACGGCCAAGATGAACCAGAATGGTACATCAAGGTCCACAATACTGAGATCAGAAGACACCTATGAAGCAGAAAAAATCCAAAGACGAAAGTTCAGTTAGTTGCTGATTCCTGGCATGTGGATTGGTTTGAATCTTCCCAAAGTTTGCTTACCCGGCTAAGTATTCGTCCAAGAGGTGTGGAATCATAGAACGACATGGGTGCTCTGAAGAGGGAGTTGAGCAGCTGTGAGAAAAGCGACCTTGAAGATTGCATATTCAGAATTACAGTGGAGAGTCCTCTAGTAAGCAGAAACACTGTTGAGCCAACTCCAATTAGCAAGTAAACTCCAATCAGCTTCAACGTGCTAGTGTTTGGATTATCGATGTTGGCAGCCATCCACGAGTTCTGTGATACCTGACCAGCCACAAACGTGAGGTGACTAATGGCAGCTAGGGAGAAGTAGAGATATCCTTTATTTTGATTCAGGTATTGAATGTATGGCTTCAACCCTGTATCTCCCATTTCTCTTTCTTCCTTCTTGATAAGTTGATCTCCCTGTGCCACCATCGTTTGGTTTTCCACATAAGTTTTCTTTATCTCCCTGGAAGATGATACTCCTGGTTTATGTGCAGAAGAAACTTCAGCAAGCCTCTCGGTGCCAGCTGTCTCCTTGTGGGCATGAACGAGTTCCTGAAACTCTTGGCTAGATGATAACAACTCGTTGTAAGAAGCTGCTCGTAGGATTTCTCCATCTGACATTAACTGCCAAAACTCAAACTTCATCAGACTTTAATCCAAAAGTTGAAACGGTGGACTGTATGGGTGTGCAACAATTCCGTTTTCAGTAGACCGAATTGGATAGAAAAAGCTTACCAGAACAGCATCAAATGCCGGCAAGAAATCTACTTGGTGGGTCACGAGAAAGACCGTCTTCCTTGCTAGTGCCTCCATAACATATTCCTGAAAAGTAAGTTCAAAGTGAGATTCCTGATAAAGACATGCGGAAGAGTAAAATATCTTGTTTACTCTATGATTTTACATTGAACAAGCTTGTGGCAGTATGGGCATCCACAGCACTGAATGGATCGTCCAGGAGATATATATCAGCATCCTGATAGAGAGCACGAGCAAGCTGAATCCTCTGTTTTTGACCACCACTCAAGTTGACTCCTCTTTCTCCGATTTCGGTTCGATCTCCATAGGGCAGCAGGTCAAGATCCTTCACCAAGGAACATCTTTCCAGAGTATCTTGATATCGCAGTTTATCCATGGGAGATCCAAACAAGATATTCTCTTGTATGCTCCCTGTCTGAATCCAAGCCGTTTGAGAAACATAGGCCATTGTCCCATGAATTTGAATCTGTGGTGGTAACAACAGCGTCAGAATTCCAGTCTACTGCAAAATTTCATTGCCATAAGAGTTTCGACAGACTTACAGATCCTCGAGTGTTTGGAACTTCTCCAAGAATAGCTGCCAGAAGGGTTGATTTGCCGGAGCCTACTTCCCCACAGACCGCCACCTTCTCACCAGGTCGGACCTCCAAACTTACGTCTCTCAGTGTAGCCTTTGCTGAAGAATTCTCTTCCCATGAAAAATCTGCTGACTTAATCCGAACGGTATAATCACCACCACCCACATTGCTGCTCCGTTGACCGTGGCCCACATGCTGCAGCTCTGGCGCCTCTAGAAACCTCTCAATTCTTGCAAATGCCACCTTCGCTTGAATCACCACCCCAATAACATCAGGGATCGACCTCACAGGCTCCTGAACCAGCCTCAACGTTGCCACGAAGGTGAAGACATTATTTGCATGAAGTGGAACTTTGAGCAAGTAACAAGCTCCAAACGTAGCAACAGAGACCAAAACAGGTGAAGACCAGAACAGAATGCCATTATACGCCTTCAGGAGCTGCGCAGCTCTCAGCGACGTGTACTCAACTTCCCTCAGCTTCTCTATCACAGTCCTGAAATGTGTCTCCCAGGCGTACAGCTTCAGCACCTTCATATTCACCAAAGCCTCCCCGCATCTCTTCAGCCGCTCGTCCTGTGCTGTCATCAGTTTCGTCTGAAACCTGTGCTGAAGCTTTGCAAGCGGAACATTGCAGAGAACCGTCAGCAGGATGATTGCCATTGCAGCGAATGTGGCTAAGCCGACTGCATGGAAGAGGATCACGAGCGAGAGGCAGAGCTGCAAGCTTGTCGTCCACGTTTGGTGAAACCAGAAGGGGAACTCACCGATTCGGTAAGCATCTACTGTAACGTAATTCATTATCTCTCCTGCAGAGTGAGTCAATCTGCCTGCGTTTGATAACTTTAGTTGCTTCTTGTAAATGGCTGATGCGAGTAGAGATCGGACTTTCAGGCCGATGAGTCTAGACCTGAAGTACCATTGTCTCTGTGATAACGACTCCAAGCATTTGCACAGGAAAAGGGTCACAGCGAGCAGATAGCCTTCATGTTCAAAGCTGGAGTTTCCTTCTGCGACGAGTATGAAGGAGTTGAGAAGCATGGGACCAGCTGAGGCTGTGACTATCTTCAAGAGAGCAAACAGCCCCGAAACGAGAATCTCTCTCGAGTGGCATCTCACTATCGTCCACATTAATGCTTGTGGTTGTTGTGCAGATGGCTTTTCGTTGCTAAGCTGTTCGAGGAAGACCATGTAGCAAGTCTCCGCTCGATCTGCATGGCGCAGCTTGGGGATGTCGGTTTCCTCCAGCGTCTTCTCTCGGCCGATTTTCATGAGTGGATTCAGCCACCAGAATGACAAGGTACCAAAGATTCCTGCTTTCGAAAATGGAGTAGTGAGTTCATCTTTCGCTACTCTGTCACAGCCACTCAAAGGAGCATACAGGCCATTGGCAGCAGCCTCTTCACTGCTATCATGCGCCTTGTGAGCGCATAACACCAACAGAAAAGCTCCTGGAAGTGACAGAACATCTGCAACTACCTTCACCCCAACAACTCTATCTACAATTGCTCCAAACACAGAGAACCCACACACGACCGAGACGAACAACAATGCCGAAATGGAGAGAAGCTTGGGTGGGAATTCTGGCAGAGATCTTCCTTGAAGGCTTATAACTAAACCAATCAACAACCACGTCGAGCCATGGAGGAACAACGGTACCCTCAACTTCTCTTCTACAATCCATACTCCTGAGCACAAGTAGATAAGACCAAGGCAGCCATTGAAGACTGCAGATCTTATCTGCAACCTCGAACGAGCACGAAATCGTGGTGGAACATTATCCATTTTAAATGATGTTGATTTTCGTATGAAGTTGAACAGGAGCAGGGCAAGAAGGACAAAGTCGAAGCAGATCACGATTGCTTGATTGGCACACGAACTGGGATGATACAAGAACAGCATGGCGACGGAATTCAACATCTGTTGTCCTCCATCAGGAGTCCCCGTTTTCCCACAAAACATCCCCAACAAGCCATCCATGGTAAGAGAAAGATGCTTTTACTTATCAAGTTCGCCAAAGGGTAGCAGAATCTGGAGTTGATACCTTATCAAGTTGGCCAAAGCTGGTATCTTTCTTTCGTTAAGTAATCAAAGTAACTACCTCATGGAATTGCTGGCAGGATTGTAACCATAAAAGGGCTGGAGCAGGAGGTTGGTAGGTTGCTGCAATTTGGGAAACAGAGTCATTTTAAAAATGAAGAAGAAGTTTGGAGTTTTTGGGGGTGATATGATGATCCAATGGGCGCTTTTTGCAGGCTGGCTTCTGCCACACAGTCAGAGAGGGAGAGTGACGAGAAACGAGCTAAAAGGAGACGCATTTATTTACAAGTGGTTGGTTGGTAAAGATTTGACCAGAGATCATCACCGAACTACAGATGAACAGAGAGCTGGCCACAAAATGATTCTTGATGAATAGAGGAAGATGCCGACAATCTTTAGAGATTCTGAATCCCACCCCAAGCAAAATGTGCACCTTTATTCGTCAGGTAAAAAAGGAAGTTTCTGCCTTTTTTTTTTTTTAATCTCTTGAGAAAGAAGGGCCAATGACCATGTGTTGATGTCGTTGGATCCTGTATAGCATCATGATTTTCATCGTTAGATGAAAAAATCAGTATCTGTTTGAAAGAGCGATTCAAAACTCAAGAACATGTGAAAGACAATCCATCGGCATCAAAGTACGAGTCGTTGGTCGACATCCACTTAACATGATACCAAATGTCCTTAACAGTAGCTGCAATATAACGATACTAGTGACTAATTACGCATAGAAATTATACGAAACAAAGAAATTTAAACAGGCGTGAGAGTGAATTCTTAGAAGGTTGTGAAGTCTCGCGCCCTAATAATGATGAGACAATGAGACGGGGCAGGTTTGCTGGTAGATATTATTATAGGTTTTAAAGCAGTTGCATGCAAAATTTAATCACATTGGTGGAATTTAAAACTAACCTATCTATCAATAAACAAAAAAAACTAACCCAACTAAGTGCCTGCTTAACTACTGTGGCCCAGGAGCGGGGACCGTATGGGCCCAAAATGTTAACTTGCTCGAGATGGACGGTTTGGGCCCAACAAGTTCCCTTCGCTTGATGAATAAGAAAAGGACATTGGGTTTGGGACCCGACCTATGACAATTTGCTCGAGTGGGCAAATCAGAGACTTTTTTTTTATCAGTAGGAAATATAAACATCAATTTCTCCTCAAGTATCAACTGCCAACCGAAGCCTTTTACAAGCTGGTGGTACTGGTAGGTAGATCACAATGATATCAGACAGTGATTGGGACAAATTTAGTTTGAAACTCAACTCATTTGCTAACGAGACGAGTTTGATCCAAATCTCGTTTAGTTCACGAGGCTCGTGAGTTAGTTCGACTTGATGGGTTGTCGAGCCTACTTGTGAGCTATAGCTTGTTTAGAGTTCATGAGATGTCTCGACATTGTGCGTAGAGAGTCAACTAGATACCCGATTTATGAGCAGATCGGTCTATATATTCATAGGATTGTTAAATTATTATGTCTCACCTTAAATGATGTTTAGAATATTGAGTATGTTAGCAACTATGTCTTGTTTATAATTTTAAAAAGCAATGATGTATCATAAATTGCTTCGATACAATAAAATAACATAATTTAGACTAATTGATGATGGAAATTTGACTATATTCTTTGTACGTTATAACATCAATCACATGTATCATACATTATATAAAAATGAATGTAGCAAATACAAGCCGAGATTTTTGTAAACGATCCTAAATCAAATTCAACTCGACTCATTAATAAACGAGCTAAACTTGAACTCGGCTCGTTTATTAAATTAAGGTAAAACTCAACTTGACTCGACTCGATCATAACCCACCATGCTTTACGCCTATGTATAACCACTATGTCACTTTGCGTTTTACATAAAAAAAAATTAATTAATCGTTATCTATGCAATAATATTAATTATCTGAGTTTTTAGAAAATAAATCTGGTCAAATGTCAATTTTACTATTATCATAAGTTCATAACCAAGGATTGTGTAATTGTACCATTGGTCATATAGGAAAAGTCACTGATAGCGTATTTTGCACTAAAATTCTAATTTTGTCGTGATTCAACCATTTCATACCGTTAAAACCCCATCTACCGATTTGAAATCGGGTACCAGGTATTTCCGGTCCAACCAGATGGTAGGGTATGGTTTCTAGAACACTGTTCATAACAAATTATTTCAACGATCATAACAAAATTGATTTTGCAATAAAATTGATTGTGTTTTTTCAGTTTCAAAGCATATAAAAAACTTATCTTGTAGATCACAAGTAGCCTAATTTCCTGATTTTAAAAACAGGAGCGGGAGATGAATATTATAAATGGTGTGCATGAAGTATCATTTATTTGATCCGGTTCTAATTTTTCATTTAGTATATACATTTCTGCCATTATAAATGGTGCGCTTAAAGTATGGTACGATTATAAATTTCCAATTTCGAAAAATAGGACATGATCCTACACTGTTTTATTTTGTTCTTGTAAACCGCACCAAAACTAAGGTTGGAAATTCGGTCCCGGTTTTGCAGCCCAATCGAAAATAAGACATTATAACCCAGTTTGGTTTTACGAGCAACAAAAATTAGAAAGCTGAATATTTACAATATTAGGTTCTTTGAATATCGCAACGTAGTTCATCGAAGGTGTGACCCTATTTTTTTCGATTGAGTTTATTTCGTTTCTTCAAATGGATTTCTCCAATTTTTATATTTAAAAATTAAAAAACAACTTTCTCTTATGTTCTTTCTTATTTATTTATTTATAAGGCCTCAGGCCGATCAGTACAGAAGTTTTATTACAACCACACCACAATTTATTTAATGGACCAAAAGGAGGAGAGAAAAAAAATAAGCATGATAACACCAGATTATTTTATATTAAAATCGTGATTCATTAATTATGATGTAGAAGATTCTCTCGACCGATCATCGGATTATCTGTCGCTGTCGCTGTCGTCGTCTTCCAGAGGGTAAATCTCGAACCTCATGAAACAGCCCTCCCCCCACGCTTTACCTCCCATGCGGCCAACACACTCCTTCCTCTGGAGGGCATCTTTCGCCTTAGCAAGGCAAGCAGCCGCAGCGTCGCCGTCGTCCCTCTTCCGGTGACCGTAGACGGTGTGCTTCCCCTCATCGCAGTCGTAGGTGTCGTAGAATTCGCCCACGGGCACCGGATCCGTCCACCCGAGCAGATGGTCGAGCAGGTGATACGCACAAACGCGCCGGTGATCGTCGAGGCGGAACTCGAGAGAGTTGCAACGAACTTTTATCTCTTGCGCCGCCGCCAACGACGACGTCGTGATGATGATCATGACGACTGCCGAAACCGCCATTATCCATGGTGGTGGTGATGACGAACTCATCGTTAATTAATTAAAAAAACAATTTAATGACATTTGTATGATTAGTTTCATGATTTTATAGTAAGAGCCATTCGGCAAAACATTCCCGAGTCTATAAATCGCCACGGAAGTTGCGTTTTTGTTAGTTGTTCGGTCGGCTACAAGTACTATGTTTCTGCTTTGGCTGCTCTCTACTCGATTGTTTGGATTCTATCGTACAATACAAAAAAGAAAAAAGAAAAAGAATAGGGATATTCTGGATCGGGTGTGTCGCCGAACATAGAGAGGAGAATACTTGCGATATTAGCTAGGAACGGTCTTTTATGGTTTACCAAATGTTCTTTTTTTTTTTGTACACATGGTTGGGCAAGATATTCTAAACGTGATACCATCTGTCTTGGTTCTTACAAAATATGTAATGTTTAACAAACCTGGCCTATTACATAAGGGTTTCTGAATTCACGGTAAATTTTGGTCAATCTCGGCGGCAATAAATAACCGGATTGATTTTAACGGTTTGATATTGATCTATGGAGTCAGTCGAAACCCTTTCCTCGATCTCTCTGCTTTTCACAGTACGTGGATCCGAGTCAAACTGCAAGTCGATTCGATTATATTGGTTAAATCTATCGAGTTAGTACTCAAACCCTTTCCTCGATCTCGCTGCTTTTCAGCAGAATAATTAATCTGAGTCAAGCAAGTCGATTCGGTTGGTCGAAATGTGATCCACTTACTTGGCCAACTCAAGAATAGCAATTGGTTGGATAACCTTGTGAACATGTGTGTCATTGGCACCATCTTTTAGAGGTGGCAATTAAGATCCAAATCCATGAATCCAATCCATCTACCAAATTATCCACCTAATCCAATCCATTTACCAAATTATCCACCTAATCCAATCCATTTGATCCAAATCCAATTGGATTGGTGGATTCATGGACCAATCCATGAATCCAAATGGAAAATTGCAATTTGGTACCTATAATTTATAGTTGTGTACAAAAATATCATTGGAAAATTACATTTTGGTCGCTTAATTTTTTTTATTATGACATTTTAGTACCTAAACTTTTCAAAATTTACATTTTGGTCCAAGCCTTGGATGTCATTTGGGTTCATGGATCAATCCACCAATCCATTGGATCCCATCCATGAATTCACCAATCCATTGGATCTAATCCTTGAATCCACCCATCCATTGGATCCAATCCATGAATCCACCAATCTATTTGATCCATGGATCCACCAATCCTATCCACCAACCCATGAATCCAATCCATTTACCACATCTACCATCTTTGTGTAACCTTGATGACATGCTTATTCATGGTGCCAATGGCGGAGCCAATGTATACCAAGATGGATCATTGGCACCACCTTTGCATTCTTTTATACAAGGGTTCTCTCTCCCTATTATCGATCGGCTAGCATTTCAATCAGTAAGACGAAGCACATCTTGTGATATCAATATGAGCTCTAATCAATATACTATGCAATCGATTTAAGTCTTGTATCTTGACCTTCATCAACTAGATCCTTGTATATTTGATATGATCGAATACAGTTGCGAGGTTTGCAAGATTAAAGAAAATTGCTAGGGAATTGGTTGTGTTAAAAAAATGATATGATTTGAGTGTTTGCATTAGTGTGTCAACTTCTAAAATTGACATTGTCGCTACCTCTCACCATGGAAAGTGTTGAAATTGGTTTTTGTTTTTTCCGCAATAAACTATGTGAAGAACACACACTTTGAAATCAGATAGGTGATGAAATCATGAATGAATGATCTTTTTTTTTATTGGATACATTGAGTGACACTCTTGACAGTTCATACATTGGATGTACTTTAGATAAATTGAGAAATATCAAAACACAACGTGGATCATTGTAAACATTAATAAAACATTATGTTACAATTTTTTTTTGGGTGCGTTGAGTCCACTTAGTTATACTAAATTTCTGATGGCGCTTCTATATTGAGGATGACTTAGTGCTGGAGTTACAAGGATTAATGCCTGACATATAGTCTACGAAACATAGGATGGAAGGAACATATAGTAATAGGAGTATAGGACGTACTGGAAATAATATTACCTCTTTTTTTTTTTTTTTTGGTGAAATAATATTACCTCTTTTTTTTTTTTGGTGAAATAATATTACCTCTTTATTTGGTCTTAGCTTGCACATAAGACCTATCACCATTTTTGGCGACACACCCAAATAATACCTTTTTATCCGGTAGAGTAAGATTCTGGATTAATAATTAGGGCAGATCATCAGGCAAAGCACAAACATAGTACTTGTAGCCACATGGGGACAACGTAGCTGTGGC